AAAACACCCAAAGAAGCCTTTCAGATCGCCCTATCTCGACCATGGATCCTACTGTTCCGTGAACCGATCGTGCTCTTGCTGTCGATCTATATGGCTATCATCTATGGTACCCTATATATGATGTTTGCAGCCTTTCCCATTGTCTACCAAGGCCAGCGAGGATGGAACCAGGGTGTTTCTGGCCTGGCTTTTTTGGGAATCATGGTTGGAATGCTCCTTGCGGTAGCCTACACACTCTGGGATAATAAACGCTATATCAATACCCAGGCACGACACAATGGGTTTGCACCTCCCGAGGCTCGCCTGCCTCCTTGCCTGATTGCCTCGATTGTCATACCAATTGGTCTTTTCTGGTTTGCCTGGACGAACTATCCCTCGATTCAATTCATGGCCAGTATTGCAGCCGGTGCACCGTTCGGATTTGGCATGGTGCTGGTCTTCCTCAGCTTGATGAATTACCTGATTGATGCCTATACAATCTTTGCTGCGTCCGTATTGGCTGCGAATTCTGTGCTTCGTTCCATCTTCGGTGCTGTTTTCCCTCTCTTCACTACATACATGTACAATGACCTAGGTGTGCACTGGGCCTCCAGTATTCCTGCATTTCTAGCAGTCGCGTGCATCCCGTTTCCTTTTCTCTTTTATAAATACGGCCCAGCGATTAGGACGCGATGCAAATATGCAGCGCAGTCTGACGCTTTTATGAAGAAATTGATGGAACAAAGTACCAATGTTCCTGAAGAGACAGACGCGGAGAAGAAGTCCGAGAATAATGCCATGGAGGGATTGAAAGAGGTGGATGACAATCTGTCTGAGCCCACTCCAGCGAGCTCGCAACTGGATGATCTCCCGTCTGCCTCCAAGTACGACCGAAGAAAGTCTATAGCATCACAGGCATCACGCCGGTCTGAGGGGGTAAATTCCCAAACTGTGTACGATGCTAACCCTTATGACATTGATCGAGTCAACACCCGCGAGTCATTCAAATAGAGAGCTTCCGCCCATTCCCATCTTTCATCACCCCTGACTGTATCCTGTATTGTGATCCGTTGATGGATTCTGAACATCCCCTTTCTGGTCACCATCCCCCCCTCAAAAATACCCTATAGATAGTGTTTAGTTTATAATTTCTATAGAATTTAGTGATAGAACCTGTGTATTTCTTGACTTCAACTTGGCGATCCATCACGATCTGATATCATAGGGGATCACGTGGGGTCGCGTCATAGCGCGTTTGATCCTTGACGTTCACTAGCCCAAAAGAGGAATGGTCACAAACAGTACTCCGTGACTCGACCTGTCGCAACCCACGAACAATGAAATCGATCCTACTTCCCCTAATGAGTAATTGCAATCCTTCGAGTACCTACCATCTCCCAGACCACCATGGGTGTTCGGAGAGGAAAGAGACAGGTTGATCAGATAGATCTGACCCAAACCGATGATGAGAATCGGCCTTCGACTGCCAAGACACCCCGCGTCAGTCACGGACAGCGTCTTGGGGAGGATACCCTCTTTATGCCCCTGAGCGAGTTGTCGCAGGTGGCCACAGGAGATGAAGAAGATGACGCGCAAGCTGCGGATGTAATTCCGGGGAGCCAGGCTGCCGATGATCCGGCGGCTGGTAACTCGATGCTTTACGGGAATGTAAATACAAAGATTGTGGGCGTTCGCTACTATCGCGGGCATGCTACTTATGGTGAACACGTTATTTTGAGACGTGAGCCGGGGAATCAATATGACTCTAATGCCATTCGTGTTGAGAATGTTATGGGAGCTCAGATTGGGCATATCCCGAGGAATATGGCGGCCAAGTTGGCGAAATATATGGTACGTCCCCAGTGAAATGGGTGCTAGTAGTGTTTTGGGTTCTGAAGCTTGCATTTGTAGGATACGAGGTCGTTGATTGTTGATGGCGTGTTGGCTGGGGAAATTGGGCCTTGGGATTGCCCGATTGTTCTGAGCTTGTTCGGCACTAGTGATCCGGCTAGGAGACAAGAGTTGAAAAGTCAGATGGAACAGGACAAGCTGCCTTTAAGTGAATTCAAGCAGAGAGAGCGCGAGGAGCGGAAGCAGCAGAAGGAGCGCGAAAAGGCCCGGAAAGAGGCCGAAAAAAGAGCTCGTTCGCTAGCCAAAGGCAAAGGACAACAGTGGGAGGCAGCAAATAACTCCATGTTTTCCAACCTTCATACTGGTGATGGCAGTATCGAAGGAGGAGAGAGCCTAGAGGAACTCATTGGCCAGAGCAGCACTTTCAACCCTCGGGATATTGGTCAAGTGGCCGAGAACTTTGGTTTAAGTGAAGCAGACTTGGCAAAAATGCCTATGGCTGATCGTCCTGCTGCACTTTCGACGGAACTCCTCCCTTATCAACGCCAAGGACTGGCCTGGATGCTTCAGAAAGAAAATCCTACATTCCCTGCTGCTGGATCTGAGGATGTGGTACAACTCTGGAAGAGAAAGGACAACAAATTTATTAACATTGCGACAAACTTCTCCACATCTATTGCGCCGCCTCTTGCAAGTGGCGGTATCCTGGCTGATGATATGGGGCTCGGAAAGACTATCCAAATCATTTCCTTAATTCTGGCAAACTCCGCACCGAGGACCCCAGGCTCCTCCAAAACTACACTCATAGTAGCTCCTGTTGGAGTTATGAGCAACTGGAAAAACCAAATACAAGATCACACACATAGCGAGAGCGCTCCACGGGTACATGTCTACCATGGGACAGGAAAGAAAGAAGCCGCCAATCTTGACCAGTACGACGTGGTAGTGACAAGCTATGGCGCCCTTGCAATGGAATACAACCCGAATGCAAAAATGCCCCCCAAAACAGGAATTTTTTCCGTCTACTGGCGCCGTATAGTCCTTGATGAGGGACATACGATCCGTAACCCACGGTCCAAAGGCGCGTTAGCAGCATGCAATTTGCGAGCAGACTCTCGCTGGACCTTGACTGGCACGCCAATAGTCAACTCCCTCAAGGATCTTTATTCTCAGGTTCGCTTCTTAAGGCTTTCCGGTGGCCTTGAGGACATGACGGTATTCACTAGCGTGTTGATCCGACCTCTTATGTCTGAGGATTCGAATGCTCGTTTGCTTCTCCAGGCACTTATGAGTACCATTTGCTTACGCCGTAGAAAGGATATGGAGTTTGTGAACTTGCGTCTGCCGTCCCTCACCTCCCGCGTTCTTCGCATTAAGTTCCACGCTCACGAACAGGAGAAATATGATATGTTCCAGTATGTATTACCGGATCCCAGAGATGTCTGTGGCATTTGCTCACAATCATAACAGGTCTGAAGCGAGAGGCATGCTTCTAGATTTCAAGTCCAAAGACAAGTCCAGTACCACCTACTCACACCTTCTGGAAGTGATCCTCCGCCTCCGACAAGTCTGTAATCACTGGGCGCTTTGCAAGGATCGTGTTGAAAAGCTTGCACAGCTATTGGAGGAGAATAAGGTCGTCCCGTTAACGCCGGAGAACATCAAAGCCCTTCAAGACATGTTGCGAATCCAAGTCGAGAGTCAAGAGACATGCCCCATCTGTCTAGACACTCTAGAGCAACCGGTCATCACAGCCTGCGCCCACGCTTTCTGTAAAGGTTGTATCGAACAAGTAATCGAACGACAGCACAAATGTCCCATGTGTCGTGCTGAGATTAGCGATACATCCACACTCGTTGAACCTGCCGTCGAAATGGGCGAAAGCACTGAAAATGTTGTCGCAGACCCCGACAATCCAAGCAGTAAAATCGAAGCTCTAATCAAAATTCTCACAGCCCAAGGCCAAGCCCCTGACACAAAAACAGTGGTCTTCAGCCAATGGACCTCATTCCTGAACCTCCTCGAGCCTCACCTCAACCGCTATGGCATCGGCTTCGCCCGTATCGACGGCAAAATGAGCTCGTTAGCCCGCGACAACTCGACCTACCGATTTTCGTACGATCCCAACTGCAAAGTACTTCTCGCAAGCTTGAGCGTCTGCAGTGTCGGTCTCAACCTAGTGGCAGCAAACCAGGCCATCCTCGCCGACAGCTGGTGGGCCCCGGCAATAGAAGACCAAGCCGTCGACCGAGTCTACCGCCTCGGCCAAACGCGCGAAACAACCGTCTGGCGTCTGGTGATGGAAGATAGCATTGAAGACCGCGTCCTGGCCATCCAGGAAACAAAACGGAAGTTGATGTTAGCCGCTTTCCGTGAAACCACTAAGAAGAAGGTCGATGATAGAGCGACTCGGGTTGCGGACCTCGAGAAGCTGCTTACTTGATCGTGTACACAGGTCTTTGTTACATCTCTACCATCTCCCTAGAGTGATTTCTATTCTATTTACATCGTCCTGTCAGGACTGGACTACTTTCGGGCCTTTTCTGTGCGGATATGGAACGGTGTGAAGATTCTGGAATCTCATGCCGGACTTCTGTTACCTTTCTCTTGTACTATTTTCCCTATTTCTCTGCTTTCTTTCGGACATTGTCGAAATCAATTGAATAGAGAAGACTGAATCTGCTGGCTAGATAAAAGTGGGAATAACAACTGATCTTCTTATGAGTCTTACAGCCCCTTAGCAGCTATACCATTTACATAAAAGAGGCAAATAAGCATACACACGCTTTGAGGTATCTTATTATTGTGTTGTTTGTTCACGTATCGTTGACTCGTTATTGTGCGCAGCACATGCATCGATTGGCGCAATCGCATCCTTTTGCCCCTAAAACTCCTTGTTGAAACGAGAAAGAGATGACCTGTCGCTGCTTTTTTTTGGGAGTCAAGAAAAGAGAAAAGTATGAAATTTACAAGAAAAGTGGGAAGATATGAAAGAAAAGAATGTTAGTGAAAGTACAAGAAATAGCCGCAAGCCAATGAATAGAAACAAGGTTTCGCAATTGCCAATACTTGCATGCCGCTAAAAAAGCTCTAGATAAAACACGATGGAAAGGAGAGACCAAAACTCCGAAGAATGTAAGAATGGCCAAGATTCAGGTGTTCGAGGTTGCTCACTGCTGGCGGCAAGGATGCTCGGAATTATCGTCTGATGATGTACTTGATTGCGGGGGCTCAGTATGGGCCGTATACGCGGTTATATCAGGTTGCTGGACATTTGTGTCGAAACTGGTACCATCCATTTGCGTAGCTGTCTGTGTACTGCCTTGTCCCAGGCTCCTGGCAGGTGAAAGCCTGAAAGGGATGTAGAGTGCGGTACTTTCGTTAGGTGGTTCACTCTGAGCAGAGCGCGAAGAGTATATTCCTGAAGTTGAACTTATCGCGGCTGCGGATGTTGAGGGCATCGGTGTCCAAGAAGGCTCTTGGTAAACGCTCATGTCTGGTGCTAGAGCGGGAGGCCCAGTGTTGTGAGCGCTTGATGGAACTGTTGGCTGCATATAAGGTGGTTGAGGCAGCGTAAGAGCTGATTGCACGGGAGTTGATTGCATGGGAGCTGGTTGCATGAGAGCTGGTTGCGTGTATGACGATGGGATCCAAGCCGGAACTTGGCCTGCAGTCCAAGATTGCCTTTGTCTATCCACTATTAACCTTTGGTAAGCCTCCGGGTCAGTGCGCTTAAGGCGCTCGTCACTTAATTGCTGCTGGACGCCCTGTCTCTCTTCCTCTGTCAATTTGTCATTGTCTTCCTTCTGGAACGTTTCAGTGAGGGCAATATTGCGGATAGACTTCTCCTCGCCGTTGTCACCCATGATGATCTTGTCTAAGACTTGTGGATCCCTCCCCAGATATTCGGCGATGGGTTTTTGAGGGACCGGTTTGGCTGGAAAAAGATATTCACCAAGTGACTTCTGTGCCCAACGAATCGGATTCTTCTTATCGACAACACGGAAAGCAAGTTGGGTCTTGAAGACAGCCTTGTTATACATAACCTCCTCAAAGGTACCACCGGCAATGAAACGGTAGACAAAAACTGGTTTCTGCTGGCCCAAGCGATAGGCCCGTCCAACAGCCTGCTCTTCCCATACCGGACTAAATTTAAAGTCGAAAATGATAACACGGTTCGCTCCAGGAATGTTTAAGCCAAGCCCTCCTGCGCGCGTTGAGATTAGGTATACTTGCTGTTCAGAGCCACGATTGAATCTCTTTGTCGCATCTTGTCGAGTCACAACGGGAGTTCGTCCATCTAGCCGAGAGTACTTTCGGTTTGATGATTGAAGAACATACTCAATGTAGTTGAGCGTTGGGATACTGTGTGAGAAAACTAGGACCTTGTCACCCACTCTGATAGATTCGTCGATTATCAAATTCATGATCCGCGCCCGATGAGACATTTCTAAGGCTTTTATGTCAGGGACTGTAGCAAAGATCCGTTCTTGTTCTGAAACCAGCTTCTCCGAATCTGGAAGGCCTGCCTGCGCGATAGGTTCATCGCCGGGGATCATCTCCATATCATCTAGCCTCTTGTTTATTTTCTGTGCATCGCTTGCTCGGCTTAGTAGTTTGTCTCTGAAACACGACGGATGATTGCAACATAGACTCAGAATCGCAAGCCAGGACCATAGCTGCGCACTGCCGAAAGCGCCTTTCCCTTGCAATATACTCTCCACATATGAATCATATGCTTGTTTCTGTAGGTCCGTCAAGGGAACCGTTATGACGAACTCGACTTTGGTTGGCAAACTGCCAGCGAGCACGGAGATATCGGCACGGTTGATCTTTGGAGCAAGGATTTCTTTGAGGACTTGAAGCTTCACCAAAGACTTTCTCCTCTCTGTGTACGTACTGTCTACATAAAGTCCCTCCGTTATAGGCTCCACGAATTTTGCTTTGAACTCCACGAATTCGCCAAGGTAGCCCTCCGCAATCCAGTTGATCATCGCATAGTAATCGATAAGATTGTTCGCAAGAGGGGATCCAGTTAGGGCAATGCGGCTTTTAGAGCGGAACTGCATGGCGCTTTGCGAGATGCCAGTGGCTGGGTTTTTCATTTTGTGGGCCTCGTCGGCAACAATAATGTTAGGTCCTTCGAGAAGGCAATCTCTGACCTTGCCATAATCACTATCATTCAAGGGCTTTCCCCTTTTATTTGTCTCCCTGTTCAGGATCCACGTCCGAAATATGTCATAGCTCATGATAAGCACCCCGCCTTCCTCATTCCAGTCACACACCTCCTGTAGCCTCTCTGGCATTGTGGCGGAAGTTGTTATTTTCCTCAAGGGCCCGATGCCCGATTGTACAGGAGCCCACATGAGAAACTCATCATACCAATTTTCAATTAACGACGATGGGCACAGAATCAGCGATTGAGATCTATGGAAAGCTGCAGGAACCTGTTGCCGTATCTTAGGATCATCGGAAGATGCTGCCGCAGATATTGTTGCAAGGAGCGATATAACCTGCATTGTTTTCCCTAAGCCCATTGTGTGAGCGAGCAGGCAACCTTGCTTGTTCTCATCTTCTATCAACTCTCGCCACATGAATTGAACACCATTCAATTGGTGGGGCTTGACACGCAAGCCAATTTGAGGGTCTAGATAAATAGCAGGATTTCCGAAGCTGACTGCTTGACGTGTAGGATCAGTGTTAGTGCTGCCTATCTTCCTTTCGAGGAGCTTTCTCTGCTTCTCTTGCAGCGCGACACGAAGCTGTGCGCTCTGCTGACTCTTTTTCGCATTTTGGCTTTCCTTGACCTCTCTCTTGCGCTTTTTGTGAGGAGTGTCTGTAAGATCAGATATCACTTCCTTTTCATTGAGACGATGCATCTTGGAACCTTTCTTCTTGCGGTATTCATCGAGGCGCGCGCAAAGTTCGTTGAAGTATGTGACAAAGCTGCTGATTTGAGATTGAGCGTTGAGCACAAGGTTCTTCTGGATTCCTTCCGACGGAAGGTGGACACAGTTTATCCACGAGATATAAAAGGAAGTGATACGCATGACCACGCGGTTCTCAGCGTCCTCGAGTTCTGGAATGATTTCTTGATTCTTCAGCAAGGTCTTTAGACCAGTTCCTGTGAGTTGCTGCAAATCTGAACTAGAATATCTGGGAACTGCCTGAGCCAACTTATTTCGTTCTTCATTAGAGAGGGTTGCAATCAGTTTTGCTAATAGTCTCCGGCGGTCTTGTCGCTCTTCTAGTAAATCCCAAGGCACCGACACAAGCTTGTCAATGTCGTGTATATCAGGGAGACTCGGCCGCTTCCTGGGTTTGAAAAGGTTCGGGTGCTTCGTTTTATAAACTGGAATCTCGACCGTCACTCTGGGACCAAGGTACGGTTCAGGGGAAATTGAGCAGCTCCGTTCAGATTTGATAGGATTATCGAAAGGTTGCGTTATCGATCGCGACACTGGGTTTAGGGGGGGAGTCTCAACCCTATACTCCTCATTATCGAGTGCCGGGGAGTCTTCTGTGAGGTCAATGCATTCTATGGGGTACTTATTCTTGTTCAAAGGGGGTGGAGATGGGGAGCTTGACTCCCGAAAAGGAAGTTTTCTCGCCCTTGAATGACGCCTAATACCAGAAGGGCTGATAATGTCATCGTCACTTTCAGATATTGGTGGGGTTCGAGTACTGCTATTGTTTTCAACGTGTATGGGTTGATCCTCAATATCAGATTTGTCAATGAAGTCATCCATAGAATCATCAGACATATCGCCTGACTCTGAATGGAGTGATTCTTCATCCCCAGAGTTATGCTTCGGTCTTTGTGCGGACGTAGGTTTGAGAGGGGCTGAAATTTTCGGAGGACACGTTTCTTGCTCCAAGATCGAAACACGCCACCTATATTGTTGAATATCCATCACAGTTTGCTCCATGCTTTGACACTGAGTTTGTAGCTCGGACTTCGTTGCATACTCGCTTTCACGGACTGCGTCCTCCAGTTTCCTAAGACGCTTGTTTAGAGATGTAATCTTTTGAACGAGCCCTTTAATTTCTTGGTTGGTAAATCTCCCCTTTTTAGCTTTTAACCAGAGCTTGCGTGCCTTTGGTTTTTCTTTTGGAAAGCAAGAATCAAGCCATTTGCTCTCATATTGGGAGACACAATCTCTGATTACAGATTCTTTCTCCGTAGGTGTGAGTTTAGAGGGTTTCTGAGACCATCCTCCTGGGTTTTCGTCTTCAATTTCTTGCCAAGTCTCTTCGTCAAACTCACCCTCGGATCCTGAGTCTCCATACAATGGAAATGCATCCTGACTTTCGTCTTGCACTGGATACCGCTGTAGAAGATAAGAGAAAGGGTCAGATGGATTTAGTGTGTCCGTCTGCACTTCTCCAGAGACTGCGTGCGACCGATTTAGTTGCGGCCAGTCTTCTATGTTTTCTGTACTAACAGAGACTTTTCCATTTTTCGCAGTGTACAATGTGAAACGTCTTTCGCCACTTCTCACAATGGACATATTATATGGTACTATTGCTGATCGACTTTGATCTTGGGCAGAGTCCAGGATTATGGGCTTTTGTTTTTGAAAATAAAGAATGCACCTGTTCACAAACAAACGCTGTGCAGTTGGAAAGTCTGATCCAACCATTGTGAAGGACTCATCATTTTGGTCTGGATCAGGAGAGTAGAATAATTGGGATGGCGTTATCTGTCCAGGTCCCATATACCACTCCCTGGTTTGCACCGGATCTGAAGCATGCTCATTATCAGCTCGACTCCTAGCCAGAGTAGTGAGGTCTAGCCGTCGCCGCTTCCTTCCGTGTGTATCCACGAAAACTTGCTCATGTGAGCGGACACGCTCAAGGGGGCCAGAATCTTCTACATGAGTCTGCAACATTGCGATGTGAGAATTGTCTTGAGGAGTACTGGACGGAGCCGTAGATTCTTCCGAATTGGGCACACCTGCCATATTTACAGCGTTTGTACTCACCACCGTAGATACACTGGGTAGTAATTTAGTACGTTGTGGAGTTGCATCTAAGGATAGAGGGCCACAGTAAAGCGGTGGTGTGGCTTTCTGGGAAGCTTTCGGCGTAATAAACGCTGAATGACATGGAGTGTGACTCTCTCTAGGAGAATCAAGCCGACTTTGAGAGATTTGATATTTCAGGGAGTGTTCTTGAAGATACCGTATCGCCGTGAGCATGGAGCTCCGGTGCCCAAGGGCCCTCAACCCTAGATCATCTCGCAGTGCACTCTTATCGACATCGTTTAAGAGCACTTCTCCAGTGATCAGATTGTCGCGGAGAGCAGCCTCGAAGGAAGTAGGGTCAGGCCGAGGGGCCCCTGACACAGACTGTGACCATGGGGTGTGCGGATTATGGCAAAGGAACTGGACCACTTCGTCGACAGACCAGTCGACAGGATCTGTTCCCTCAGCAGGCATTTGGTCTGTTAAATTCGAGTTATCAGCGGTCCACCTGAATAAATATTCCCGATAATGCAAGTAACTCACCAGGTCTCGGGCTTTCGGCCCGCCGGTTTGTATGATGTCCTCGAATTACATCCAGAGGCTTGCGTTGTCTGTGTATTAGTAAATAAAGTTCAAAATAGCAATTTTATGCAATATGACACGTGCAACGCGTCCAGTACACGTTGCTCTGCAAGAGATGAAAAGTAAGTGATCTACAAGTAAAGTTAACGTTTCTGCCGGCCCAAAGGGCGGTGCATCAGGCGGTGCCTCGGAGCTTCTGACGATAAACTTGGATTGATAAGCAAAGTTGAGGCCCGCTGCCCCTCACTTTTGGTGGTTGATGACATTGGTTTTCTTCTCTTCGCGCAATTTCTCTGAGGAGTTTCCCGCTTTCGGACGGTTCTACTACTGGTGTGCCTCTCCTAATCATTCTTTTTTATGAAAAATATAGATCGTCAGCTGCATCAATCATGGGCGAAATTTATACCAATTATCCTCCTCCGTTGAACCCCGCACAGAAGGAATACTTGGTGACCACCATCAAGGATTGGGCCACGCAGAACGGATTGCTGGTTCGCCCTGCGCCTTCATTTGTTTCAAACGAAATTGATCCTTCTGGGGTACTTGCGACGAATGCTCCTGTTACTCTCTTCCCTAGTCCTTTCCCAAAATCATGCTTCAATGAGGCGACGGCTTTGCAAACTGTATATAATCGGCTCTACGCTGCGATAACATGTAACGAAGAATGGATTGGCAAGATCATGGAAGAGTAAGATATATCCTAACGCATCTCCGGTTGAGTGGTGGGAGCGGCTCAATCGGGCATGCTATTTATGAACTAGACAGTGAGTCGAACTAAACGATGTTTGCTTGTAGTCTCATTGATGTGGATGATTTCATTTCGCACTTGTGGAAAGTCCATCTCGCTGTCAAAAAGGAAGGATATGTCCAAACACTATCACTTGGACTCTATCGATCGGATTATATGGTCCATGCGCCGTCCAGCTCTACAACGCCTTCCTTGAAGCAGGTTGAATTCAACACGATCTCATCATCGTTCGGAGGCTTGTCCTCTCTTGTGACATCTCTGCATACTGAACTTCTCGATTCTCCTCCTGGCCACCCAATTGCGTATCCGTCCCACCCGTTGTTCGAGTCGAACGTGCCGCCCGAGAACACAGCAGTGGAGACTCTTTCCGCGGGGTTAGCTGCAGCACACAATGCCTACGGCATATCAAAGTCCACACCAGCCCTTCCCACGTGTATTATATTTTTGGTCCAGGAGAACGAGAGGAACACATTTGATCAATTGGCGCTCTTCAGGCAGCTGACCAAGGTTCACAATATCCCAGTTTTCCGTCTGCTCAGCTCCGAGATTCTGGATCACACGTCGATCCCTAGCTCCAACCCATCACGACCCCTTGTATACTCGCCTCCCCACTCCCCAGAAACGCAATTTGAAGTCACGACAACTTATCTCCGGTGCTTCTATGCGCCAAGCGACTTCAAATCGGAGCGTGACTGGGAAGCACGGACCCACGTCGAGCGTTCTGCAGCGATCAAATGCCCTACAGTTTTGAACCAGCTGGCCGGTTGTAAGATTGTACAACAGGTATTGGCCGAAACTACGGGCCCCGACCACCTTGCAAGCTTCTTACCTGACACCGACCCAGCCGTTGTTGCAAGGCTCCGGGAAACCTTTGCGCCTCAATATGATCTGTCCTCTGGTGGACGTGGCAGGGACCTTGCATTAAATGTTGAAACAGCCATGAACCACGTTCTTAAGCCCCAGCGCGAGGGTGGCGGCAACAATATTTACAAAGAAGCCATTCCAGACTTCTTGCACTCCATCCCCGAAAGCGAATGGAAGCGCTGGATTCTCATGGAATTGATCAGACCACCTACCGAGGCAAAGAACATTGCCTTGAGAACCGATGGAGAGGTTCTGAGTGGAGAAGTCATCGGAGAGCTGGGTGTCTATGGAACTATTCTGTGGGATCAGGCTGATGGAAAGATCACCCACAATGAGCAAGGCGGATGGCTGATGAGAACCAAGTCCAAGGATGTCAACGAGGGAGGAGTTGCAACAGGATTTTCCAGCTTAGACAGCATTCTTCTCTATTAAATGCCGATACAATAGAAACAATGTGGAATACAGAGCAATCTCAGTGAAGTTACAATCTCGTACATTGAATGAGGACGAAGAATCATTAGAAAACATTACCAATCATGACTCATTAACAACTATTCACACAGTCAGATAACCTTTCTTTATCCTGCAGCAACCCCTCGTTCTCGGCGCATATATGCGCGTAAAAAAACGCAGGCCATTCTGCATATTTTATGCACCCACAACAAAGGTATTTAAAGACCCTCAACCTCCCACTTTCAAAGGACACCTCCAGAGACCAAAGTAACCACGTGAGGTTGAATCACTTCATTCACCACACAATCAAACATCCAACGTCCCATCGAGACTCCAACATACATTTCATCTTTCCATCTTTATCGTCCTCCACCTCATCGAGAGATATTATACCTGAAGGTATCAGGCCACTCATGAGCAGGCAACTGCCTCCAAGAAGCAAAGCCTAATTGTTTCGCCCGCTCGGACAACCTAAAGAACACGCTCTGAGCAGCCCTAATCCGCTCACTGGGGATCTCAGCCCTCCCCTGATCAAGGAAATAATCCAACGGATAGGTGGCGGGTGTGTGCGCAGCCAAGGCACGATCAGCGAGATGCACAGGCCCGCCGCCATCGGCATAAACAACATCCATGGTGGTGTTGTAGCGGATCTGATCGACCGACCAGCGTTCGACGCGCTCGACATCAATCTTGTTAAGACGGCCTGGGGCGCCACGACGGTATGTCCAGCAGGATAGACGGAGAGGACGACGAGCGTCGCGCTCTCGACGCATGTTGAGGGCGTTTTCGTTGGGACGGAGGTGAAGGGGCGCGGTCATGCGGACGCGGATGTCGCGGTAGGTGAGACGTGGATCGGTGCGCATCCAGTACTCGAGGAGCCAGCCTGGGGGATTGTTGGTGACGTATCGGGGTAGGAAGGGGAAGTCCCAGATCTCTTTGCCCTCGTGGTCTCGTACTACTTGGCCGTTTTCTCTTAGGGGGGAGAGGTCTGGGAGGTCTTGCCTGATGGGTGAGTCCATGCGGAAGAGGATGGGGGGCAGGTTGACCTCGGAGTAGGGGAAGTGGTGTGGGTGTGGGCAGGTGTGGTAGCGGTCTGTTGGGGGTGAGGTGTCTGTGGACTTTGTTAGGAGGGTCACCATTGTGCCAGTGATAGGATGGTTTCTTACGTTGGCACTGCATCCTTGAGGCACGATGTCGATACTCTTGACAAGTCGGGGAGAAAGGTTGAAAGGATGGGTTAAGGAGGGTGGGTTAGCCAGTCAGGAGGAGTAGCTGAAGGGGTGGGAGGACTGCTTTTATAGTCGCCTTGTGGGGATTATAGAGCTACATGTCTACGTGAATAACAATGCTTTGATTAGATACTCTAGGCAATAGTATTGGATATTGATTATTCCGTCCATGATGTCTCGGTGAAGGTCTTATCTTAAGCAATGATATTGGATCAATGCAATAAGATTAACTGTTTATTGAATGACAGGCGCAATGGTGAAACATACGCTAAGCTTGAACAACCGTAGCTCGAAAGAGACAAAGACAAGGTAGCAATCTGTGATGCCTAACAGGAACAAGTATCTCTTCCAATTGGGTCAATATCTATCGAGTTGTCCCGCTGTGTCTTGTTATGCAATGACTTCGCCTCCTTCCACTGCACTGCACTGACATATACTTTACCATTTCGATGCCTAGCTCGAGAGTTGGTTTCCTTTGTCTTCTCTTTGCAAACAAGTTACTAAGAGTTACTAAGCAATGAGCCAAAAAGAAAACTCGAAGAAGCAAAGAAGAAGGGAACTCCAGACAAAGATACTACTCTGTGCATCACTATCTTTGGAAGAAGTCACCTTCAAGCCTTTTCCTTCGCCCTGAATTTCCATCAGCACTTGCTGTAAGGTCTTAGATATAACTAATATTGAAATGCAACATGACTATGGTGGTATGTACAGGTCAGCCCTGCAAACCTGCATTGGACATAGCACCTGCAACATTGACTTACACTACTTACTAGGAGGTTAGAAGCCATTTACCCCAACGAGCAGGAACAACTCATTTTCAGAACTTATATTGCTCTGCTATACAGAGTTTGTACATTGATAACACCAAGCAAGGCATTTGCCCATGCGCGCTATGTGACGGAAATCCAGCTTGGCATGCAACTTTAAATGAACATCATCTTGTCCGGCGAAGATCCCCGTTGCAGTACCAAAAAACCAAGGAAACAAGGAAGATAAAGACAATTCATTAGTACACCTGAAAAGGGATATCGGAGCACAAATTTGACACACAATGTCAGACATTATTGAAGGATGGACAACGTGTATTAAGAAGCTCAACAACAAAACTTGCAATGCAACAGGGTAACACGACTAAGCGAGCAAGGGACAAGAACAATCAAGGCTAAACAACACGATTCGAAGGATATAGGTGTGTTAACAAAAAAGTTGAGTTGAACGGCAGCGCAGACAATGACAAGCACCGCGTTGGAGAACCGAATATCATTTCTATCCGATTCCTCCTGTCATGATCCGAGGAACTATTTTTGAAAATAGTCGTCATAATCGTCAATGTTAATGTCATTGATGTCGCCAATGTCCATCATCTCCATGTCCTCGGCGGCCATGGCTGGGATATCGAAGAGGTATCTGTCCCCCGAGAGGCATTGCTCGAACAGATTGTCAAAGACAAGGTGGCGAACACCAAATGGCAGTTCGGAGGCGGAGTAGGGAGTCAACACATCAGGACACAGCCCGTGGGAGGGAGGGAGTAATCCTTCACACCGCACACCTGCGCCAGTTGGGCCAGACACAAGTGTGAGGTTGGTATAGATGGGGGTGGGACACTTCCCCATATGGCAAACGTTGCCGCAAAACCCTCCTCTAGTTAGTTTCAATGGGGTAGGACGCCTACGCTGGATTCTTCCTGGCACGATGGGTCTCAAGGCCTTCTCAGTATTATGTCGTGGTATGCGGTTTTTGACGCTCACTGTCAAGTCGATGTCTTCCATGCTAACGGTCTCCGGTAGTTCGTTATCCGAAAGCAATCCTGTGATGACAGGCAGAGGTCTCTCTAGGCTGTCATTGCTTTCATCGAATGGAATATATGATGGAACGTAGTTGAAAAGCTCTGCGACAGTTTCGACTGTGAGATCATCTACTGGGAAATCGATCAAGACAGACTCCACTGGAGGTACCACTAGGGCCAGGGGCTCTTTTGATGTGTCAGCCTTCCCAGCGCTCGCCCATTCCTCAGTGGTGTTTGAGAGGCCGACCGGCTGTTTTTTCTGGTGTTCTCCCTGGACGACGTCTTCGTGGTGGGCGTCTGCCTCTTCCTGCACGGGCGTCTTTGAGGGCTTTCTGCCTCGAGCTACTCGCTTCCCCTTGTTGTATTGATTGGGTAGCAGGATCCTTCCACCATCTTCCCCAAGGGCTGGGTTGATCAAGCCGGGGGTTATACCGCGAGTCGTATTCATACTAGGAGGAAGTCCGATATCCTGCATCTTTCGAAGTATATCTTGTTTGAGTTGCTGGCTACGCTTGTTACCGGAGTCCCATGCAATCAGCGAGAACTGCTGACGGAAGCGGACGCTGCGCTGCTGCAACGCATTGTCTTGAATTCTGAAGAGTGGATGCATACGATTAGTGATATCTCTGAGACGAATACGTCTATCGAGCCTAATCCAAGCTTCCACTCGGAATTCCTCGACTGTCGAGGCTATATTGTCAGGCAGTATGGGAAGGTCACGCAAATATTCGCCATGGATGGGGTAGCTCATGAGAGAGGGTTCCGATTTACGAGTTCTTCTGTCTCCAGGCTCGAATTGGTAAAGGATTTCGGGAAGATTCGTCCACGACCAGTCATCCTGGTCCGGTTGAAAAGTGGTAAAGTTGCGAGGGTCAACAGCCTGAGGACTGTCTTGCCGAGGCACTGACTTTCCTATATCGTTGTTAGTACTGTCTCTCTTCTTTGCTGGAGAAAGCACCGATTGACCTTTGTCCTTCTTTCCTTTGCCTTTTTTTGCATTGATCTTGGTGCTCTCTGAGGACTCGGCGCTCGTAGACGTCTCGGGATACACAGAAGCATGTGGCTGTTGAGACAACTCGAGGTCTTCCTCCGGATCAACCATCTTCGAAATTGGCTGTGATTGATGTTAGGATGCATATTGATACTAACGCATCCCATATACTGTCGGGCGCAAGAAGACCCGACTGGAGAAGGATACTAGCATCGAAATACCTGAGACATGTTGTCTTCCTCGCTCTTGAGGTAGACTTTGAAGAGGTGCTTTTTCTACCACCGATATCAAATAGTATGTGAACGAAATTAGAGAATGGAGCTCAATTGGCGATGAATTGACACTGAAGCAGGCTTGCAGCTTGAAGGATTGTAGTATGGACGAAGAGTTATGAAGTGATTGAAGTAATCCAAAGTCTCTGTCAAGAAGATTCGAGGGACCAAGTGGGCGAGCCATTGTGTCTAACAGCCTGGCATTCTTCTTGTCTACTCTGAATAGAAACTGGGTGGTTGGGAGTATAGTTGTCCCAATTGGGAAATCGAGAGCGTTTCAAGTCGCTGTCGACAATATTCACTGTTCACTGAAGTTGTGTCGCGAGGTCCTGTTCCTAGCCCCCTCTCGGACAATTTTGAACCTTGCTTTCTGACGAACAATCCATTGCCTTCCCATGCAGCTGAAGCAGTGATATATGCGATTTTTTTGCGCTTCAAATGAGTCTCATATCGCTATACTACTCTTCATGTGTTGGTGGTGCGGCTCTTCGACCGATATAGTTGCGATGTCAGCACCACGACAAGCATGCAGTTTCCCGGACCAGTGGACCCACCAGGTGTCATGGATCCACCTTAGACAAGCCATCATTCATGAGTCAATTGAGTAGGTATAGCCCTGGAAGGCTGGGGACTGTTCTGATTAGTGTAACCCAAGCAAAATAGCATTGTCCTGGTCGGGTTCTCGGACGAGAGTCTCCTACCAGGGAGTGAGAATAAGATTGTCCCCCGGGGCCTCTCATAGCTCTGACGTATATTGTAATAGGCGTTCGTCCAATCGCAATTCCCCAACGCCTATTGTAGTCTCGATGCAGAAACGAGCTCAATGAATAGAAGCGGAACTACACCACCGAGCCCTATGTCTCGCCAGAACCGTTTCCCAGCCCCTTTCATATTTGGACCATGAAATATGAGGTCCAAGTCATCAAGTAATGGGGTGAGATGAGGAGGGGGAAGCGAGGGGGGGACTAGAAACGATTGAATTATAACCAGTAGTGCCCCATGTGGTTCACTAGAGCATGCCCCGGGTGATTCTGTAGGCATCCGGCGTAGTAAACCTTTCAAATATAGCATGAAGTTGGGGAAGGGGTACAGGACTTTTAGATTTCCCTTTCTGCAAAAGAGTTGTACAGTACATACTGCCTAGGTATTCTCAAATCATCGCAATATCCGTCTTTTCCACAAAGGTGATGCCTGAAGGCGGCTAATTTTGAATAAAGCCAACATGCGATTCAAGAACGAATTGAAATAACACCACAGAGAGCTCCACATACATATTCACAAATTGTATCCCATATTAAAGACAATAAGCGTACTTGATCCTGAGGAGCGACATGTACATTCCGCCGATCAACGCCCGGACCTCAGCGACCACTGTTTGATATCTCTCAGACTATTCTCATAACGAAGATCTAGATAATCCCAAAATGTAAGCCGACTTCCGTGTAGGTATTCATCCAGACTCATTGTTTTTTCGGTAGCATCAGCCTCTATGGGAAAGGTTCGAGCGGGCGGCCCTCGATAAGAAGCCAATTCACGTAGAGTAGTGGGGTAGGAGTTGAAATCAGAGAAGTTCTGCTGAATTGATATTCTGTCCCTTCTCTTGTGAGTGGCATTATATTCTGTACTGCACCGCTGGATTAGCCGCTTAGCCTCTGATAGTAGTCGTGCACAAACAACTTACCTCGCAAAATCTTGGGAACTTTGTCTTTTATGACGAGAATTCATAATGCTGAAGCAGTCGCTATTTGGAACAGCTTTTCTCTGCAAGTGCTTTGTGTCCCTGTGCAAATGGTAAAGGATTTCCGCTGATTTGGCCGGGTAAATTAGGTGGGACTTATCGAGTATTACCTTTGGAGTCCGGCCATGGTGGGAGCTCTGCGTAATCAGGCGAGTCCGCTCACCATCTGAATAATTCTGGTGGGAAACCGAACCGGAGATATCACCGTAGGCTGCTCTTGGAGGCAGTGGAATTCGCCCACCAGCTTCGCCTTTAGAGGGGTCGATTAGGCCCGGCGTTAAGCCTCTCGTAGTGTTCGAGGCCGGATCTATTCCAATTGATATAGCTAGGCGAGATATATTATTAATGGTCTTCTGAGCTCCCCAGCATGCAACGTGAAATTTCTCTCGGAAAGCCTTCCGACGAAGTTCAATGTCAATTGATGTTAATCTAGACCTGTACCTGGGGTTCACCCGGTCGATAATATCCTGCCCAGTTATCCGACGATCGAGACGCATCCAGGCTTCAAGTCTCCACCCTTCAACTTTGGAGGATATCTGGTCCGGGAGGACTGAAAAAGCATTGATATGCTTCCCGAAGACCTTGTGTGCGGCAGTACGAACAACGTGTCTGGATTTTCCATGCTCAGGTTTCAGAATGTACAAGATATCCGGTAGGTTCTCTAGGCTCCAATCATCCTGATCAATGTGTGAAGCTGTCAGATCGTCATCTTCATGTTCGCGACTCAGCCGAGCTGTCTGGTTTGTCGGGCTAGGAGAATCCAAGATGATAGTATGCGCGGTGGTATGGTGTTTCTGTGCAGCGTACTATGAATTACACCGTAAGCCTCATGCTAGTCAGCTTCAATAGTGAAGCAAAATGTCAACATACAGCGGGATCCGAGCTATCCCGATCCTGCGTCTTCATCTGGTGCATGCTGATAGTGCTTGGCTGGGATTCACTCTCCCCGTGAGCTCTTCTCACTCTCAACCTCCCTAGAACCACTCCACACGGACCGTAGTGCGCAGGTATTGTTATGGGTGCATTTTCACTTTGGCTGCCTAGCATTTGTGTAGTGAATATTTTCTGGTTTCTGGGGGGTGTCATGGTTCAGAGATCTGACAGGGCCTGCCGGACATGAGTGAATACTCCTTATCAATGTTAATTTAAAAGAGTCACTTTACTTGTGTTAAGTCGATCAGCAACAGGGTGGAGTTAGAGGTGCATACAAGTACAGATCATACTACAGGTTCAACAACTTTTGACAAGAAGATATGTGTAGTAAATAACGGATTGTAAAGCTAGTAATTGGCTTGAGAAGCTTGAAAACGAGGGTATTTAGAAATATAAATTCTCGGACATGATTCCACGTGGAGTGGCAAATGGGGGAGAGTGAGGAGAAAAGATGCTCTTTGCTGTTGTGCTTTTCATTCAGTTGCGACCTTTGAGCACAACAAACATTTTTCTCTCCCGCATCGTTTTCGCGTCTAATCTTTTCCTCTACTAGCCTTTAACCGTGCCTCTATATATTAACCATTTCAATCAAGATTTCTCCAAAGGTCGTGTCATATTGGCTATATAGTAGGGTTTCCAACAGACTTCTTCAGTTAAAAAAGTAATTGAATTTCTAGTTACGATACACTCGCTTATATTGGGCGGTTTTTCTTCTGTGTTGAAAATCAAAAGAAAACTTCAGAAAAAAAAAAAAATAGAACAAAGTAAACGGATGGAAAGGGCAAAAGTAAAAGTGAAATTCTGGGAGAAACAAAGAAGTAGTACTAGTCACGTTGACAAGTATAAATGCAGTAGTATAAATAAAGTAAACAAACCGTTGACGTTCCCCACATTAAATTTATCCGCAATTTAAACAACCACTGGTACGGAGTACAACAACTACTACACTAAAGTGACTAGTACTAGAAAACTACTCTTGACACCCCTTCAACTGAAATGCTCTCGTTTTATTTAAAATTGACTCTCAACATTCAAATAATCCTTACCGATGTCGAACCCATCATCTCAACTATTCCGTCTCATCCAGAATACGGCCACGAAACACCGTAACCCCAAGCAAATCTCGAACAAGTACAATTTACAAATCTCCTGCAACGTCAAACCCAATGCGTCTGCAAATCGCGAAGGCATCATAGCAGTTGGCCCTGAGAAAGTGGATGTTTGCGTGGCTGCCGTCCCACGAGACGGCGAAGCCAACGTGGCCGTCTCACGAGTGTTTGCTCAGGTACTGATCTTCGCTCTTTCCATTCCTAACTATTAGACATTATTCTCAGATGAGATCAACATAATTATCTAACTGGCGAAAACCAGATCCTCAAAGTCCCTAAATCTACGGTGGACGTCATTCGCGGTTTGAAGTCGCGCGACAAGACACTTTGTGTTTCTGATTTAGAGATTGGGGCCGAAGGCGAAGAGAAATTTATACAGCAAGTACGTCAAAAGCTGGAGGATGCGGTGATCAAGAAATAACAGCACCATCCGTTAAAATTGAGCTCTCCAATAGGCCAATCACCGACCTGATCATGTTGGTTCGGCACGATTTACTGTGGGACACCGCCGTGACATCACGGGAATTCTCCGAACCTTTTTTTTTTTTTTTTTTTTTTGTTTATTCATTTTCCTCCAATACGTTTTTTACAACAATATCATCCCGAACGTCTGTCGCAACACCACTATCGCGACACCGCCTCGGCCCCTCCACGACTATAACGACCGGACACCCTTTTGTTAACGCCGAGCTCTATTCGCATTAAACACCATCCGCAAAGATTTATGTTCAAGTAGCCCACCTTTCTATAAGAAACACCTAGTCATCAGCAAAGGAATTCCGACGTCAGAATGTCTTCCAGCAACCCAGAAACCACTTCCTCTAAACGAAAAGCTCCCGACGATCGCGTCGCGTCTAAAGCAGCTCCGGCCGAAGCGATCCACTTCACTGCACGCAATCCGCCATGGACCTATCTCAAACTACAGCTGTATGTCTTCTAGGGCAGTTTGCATGCAAGTAGTAAACCTTGCTAATACGCAATCTTTTATATGCTATAGAATTCACCAACCAGGCACGTCGACCGTAGTCCAATCTCAGACCCTCGACCCGCTCACAGCTCGAACATACATCAACTCTGCGCTCTCTCAATTTCTCGGCCTGTCAGGCACAGCCATCTCAATCGATATCCTTAAAATCCTCCCTGAAGCTCCACAGCCGAAGCCCATAGATAAATTCATTTGGGTGCGTGTCCCGCGCCAAGATGCCCCTGCAGTCGTGGCAGCGGTGAGCTCCTGGATCGGAGGAGGCACTGGCGGTGGCTCGGTGGGTAGTGTGGCGTGGAGGGTCTGTGCTAAGGGAAATTATCTGGGAGCTCTGACTCAGGGGTCCGGGGAAGATTTGTTCGCCCCATGATCTGTGATGTAGAGGAACTGTGCGTCTTAGTGGTTTCTCAGTTTATATCGGAGAAACAAGAACGGGTTGGGCTAGGTCGGTTTCGCAGGATCGGCTATTCTCCTACGGCATGATGATGCGATCGTATACAGCACTCACACACTGAACCACGAAAAGTCGGGACGATAGTAATCAGTCTCGACTCATGAGTTTCACCGGGCAATGTGATGACGTGGAGGACTAACATCCCGTCCCAGGTCAGAAAACAATCAGAGGATTATCATAAGACCTAGCTGGCTGAAAGAATGGTTGGGTAGTGACCAAACGCAAACGCAGAGCACCAGCTATATTTCCGGTCGGTATAACGAGCTACAACAAGCGAAGCCCGGCTGTCAGGCGCACCCTCGTGATTTCGGGTGCACTCTTACAATAGCTCTTGTAGGAAGACCTATGGGACGCACTGCAAGAAAGGGAACTTTTCGCTCGAACCAAGACAATCTAGTCGTTTCAATATGAACAGTCTAATGTATAAATCCATCCATGTACATCTGCGCAGCAAGTAGCAATTATCCCAAACCAACATATTCACAACCAATAACATGAACGTAATATAGCAGTAACAAGTGGAGTACTCCCTGTCCTCACGCAATAGAAACACCGAAACGCGCATGCTCAAAAAGAGACCCAATGCCCGCGCTGATAGTTACTTTTCAAAGAACGATTCCTTTTTTTTTTTTTTTTGTTTTTCCCTTCTTTTTCGAGTCTAAGGTCTTGACTCTTAAAGCGTAATGGTCCGTCTAAACCGTTTGTTTACTGCTCATGCTTCCAACAACAGTCGACTCATCCGATCCCAATGCAGAAGAAGGGGAGTTGGCGACCACTTTTGTTCTAAGCGCAGCTCTGATCTCCGCGACGCTCCGGTCCTTCCAGTCATTGTAGCCGTCCATGCTAAGCGGATACAGCACCAAGTTATCGTCACGGACGGTGAAATCCTCGACACGAGGCGCTGGAGTCGCGGCGATGATATCCAGTTCCAAAGCAATTTGTCGGCAGTAGGTTTCTAACGGAAGATCGTTGACGTCCTGACCGAAGGGGTTCTCAATTTCGCTACCGATAGTGGCGAGACCGAGGATGATGTATGCGGCCACTGGATGCATTTGTTAGATTCCACGCAATGTCTTCTGACTGGTTAGGACATGGATTCTTTACCAATTGAGCCAGGGATTGTCACCCATGTGAGGGAGTTGTAGAGTTGGAAGGGCAGAGACATAACGTAGATCCAGGCGATTTGGGCGATGGCGATGCTATACGCTGTTGGGAGTGGGGTGTCAAGGACGCGCTCAGTTCCCGTGACGACTTCGTTCAGGGCAGCCAGGCCGTTGACTATGATATATGTCAGTGTTCATGTTCATTATGGCATCGCAAAGAGGCGAGTGGGACATACTGGCTTGTGCCTGATGCAAGCTGATACTGAGAGTCTCGTTGGCAATACATCTGTCGATATAAGCCGATAAATGGTTAAGAATCTCCAGAGGAAGATGGCCCAGTGGCTTCTTGGATCGCTTGATGAGCTTCCGGGGGTTCGACTCGGCAAAGGAGACACCCAGGTATTCTCCCGTTGACTTCCAGAGTGACTTCCGCTGAGGCTGGAGGCGCTGACGGTCATGCGCATCTTTGGCGAAGGTGTCAAGGTAGCCGACCAGGCCCGCAAGATCTTCGTACGCGATGTCCGGCTCGAAACGGAGTTTATGCTTGAGTGCAACCGCGAAAGCCAGGATCAGGTTTAGTGCGGTACTACCATTGTCAGAAGGGACGATATACAACTGAGGTCATTTGCAGTTCGTGTCAACGTACAGTTTTTGCAGGAGGTCCTCCTTTCCCAACTCTCCTTCACGTTCGCTAGTATTGACCCAGATAGTGCGCGCCAGATTGCGTGAGGTCTGGATAAGCAGCGACCAGTATTTGCGTCCATCAGCCCATCTATATGATTCAGTTTAGAAATTTCTCACGGCACAAGATGCGGTAACAGCTCGCCTACCTTTCGTAAGCCGTTGAACTCCGGAAAGATAGTGCCAAACCGACGACAAAACCCGTCACTGTGAGTAGAATGTTGTTGATCCCCACTACCCGTTGGTCAGCCGAACGCATCCCTGAATGAAATTCCCAGTTATACTAACGATTGTGTACAAATTTCGAGATTAATGTGATCAGAGTAGCCCATGCCGCAACAAACGACAGCGGCAGGATCATTTTGGGCAGCACACTGCCATGCATTCGGAGGAAGGTGGGCCATTTAGAATGCTTGTCCAAATCACGGGGACCATGCTAGATGTAGAACTTGGTTAGACCATCGTTTACCTCTCCCAGATGACTAAAGACTCAAGCACATACGAAGTACCGATCCAATTCGCTAGAGTTCCGTCGGTCAAGCATAAATTGGGTATCTCGAGTATTGGCGAGGTTTTCTAGAAAGGTCGGGCGTGGGGTTACCCGCCGACCTGGTGACGGCTCTCGTTGCGGGACGGTGCCTTGGTCGTGATGAACTGCATGAGAACGAATATCGGCTTGAACTGGAGCAGGGCCCTCGCCAGCTTGTGCCGACACGTCGGCAGCGGCAGTGGGTGGTGAACTGTGTCCTTCCATCGGGTGTTTGGAGGATGCAAATGGATTAAGGAGTAGTACGGGACCAACGAGGAGAGGGGTGTAAAGTGCTATACAGACACTAACACAAAAGAAAAAAGAAAAAAGGAGAAAGAAATCAAGGTATAAAACCGTGTGCAAGAGGGTGATCGAACCCTTTTTTCAAAGGATGATAAATGAAATTGCCAGACTAAAACCAGAAAAAGGAGTGAACTAAAGAATTAGCGATAGACAAAAAGATGGAGAAGAAACAAGATCGAACTAAACGAATGGGTCCGCGCCGGGGTTATATCTACTGTACAGTGTACAGTGTACAGTGTACCGTGCTACAGTGCTACAGCAAGTATCGTCTGGTCATTAACCCTAAGAGGGCGCAGACGGGGGTCCTAACTTTCAGTAGAAATCCCCCTCCGGGACGCCAAGCGAACAATATTTCCCGACTCACAGACAGCGCCAGTGCTAAGAATAAAGAAAATAGCCGTAGAAAAAAAAGGATTTGGCCTCGGGGAGAACTAGTGCCATGGAGGGGCGTAGTGCGTAAGTTCCATGAATAACATCTCATGTCGCTGATGGACGGATGTGTCTAAAGTGGATCTTTAACGTGCAGAACCGGGAGACATGGTAGCCAATGGAACGGGACATGGCTTGGGTCCAGGCCTCCTGTTTCACCATGTTCGCAACGGCGAGAACTGCGCCACGCCCCGAGACGTCGCACGGGAGTATCCGCTCTCGACAGGTCGCTCCATTCATTCGCTGAGCCCCCGTTGCTTCTTGAAGTTTGGAGTCTTCTGGACCGTCGGAGGCGGCAAGTCAAATTTAATTCTCCATCCACTTGGCCTCGACTTGAAACACGGCTCAGCTCTCCTTCTCTCTCTGCCGTGGAGGATGGTGAGTTTTGAACAACGTATCCTCAAAAAAAGAAAAAGAGATAAAAAGGAATGACAAAGGTATATAGACTCTTGCAGAGTGTCCCCGGCTGATTTGCTCCGGATTCTTCCTCCAGGAAAGGCTACCAATACTCCGTGGAAGAGCCAACTAAAGAACATGCTTTCCGGACCCCAGTATGCCAGTGCCAGTCCACTTTTTTGACATGTCCCACCTCGTGCGTGTCAAACTCAGTAGATATCACATGACATCGGTTCCCAGCAGATTGAAAATTGAACATTGTTCGATATTTCAGGACGAACATGCCTCTCAGTTGTTCCACCCCGGGCCCTCTATGCTCTTATATGAGGTATAAGATATCGTAAATAACCAAAACTATGTGCAATCTATGTATATTCATCGACCACCAGTCTCTTGAGTGACTCGGGTAGAGGTTAGCTCAAAATAGCATAGTCCAGTGTCAGACTAGTCAGCACTCGGCTCATTGGGCGACGTGGTCGGGTCCGTGCACGGGGTGCCTGAACCTGAAATTGAAGTTGACGATGCACTGGGCAGTGAACTTGGAAGGATTCCGCGAATAAGGGGCTAGTGACTAACTTCGGATATCTTAGAATAGAATTAAAGTTCTGTGTCTTACAAGTTGCTGCTCTCCCAAGTTTCAAGAAATTCGAAGCTGAATATGCCTCATAAACATGAGCTTCTATTACCAATGTTTAGATATCTCGTGGGGAACATCTTCCTTGAATTTCTAGTGAGATGCTTGAATGGGAGAAAAGATCGCTTAGGAATGACCGCACCAGGCCTATTTAGGCAGCTTCAACACACATAGACCCCAGGGCCTTGCGCCCCTGAATCCAACTTAATTTCCTAAACCAGTAGTATCCCGATATCCTTGGCGGTTATGTTGCTCTCAGTGGCTCGTTGTGTTGCACAAAAGCACTTTTTAAACGGTAGCCGATTCGGGTACTGAAGGCTTTGCTAAAAAGGTATTCGCTAAGTCGTTTCAAGCCGGTATTGGTATGCCCAAGGGCCCACTAATATGTGGTCTCCAATCATCTGGACAGAGCCTAGAGTGATGTAAAACCAGCGTAACATTCCATAGCCCTCATATCTGCGGCGCACACACTGGTTGCTCCCAGTATACTGGAATTGCTGGCCGCGTAGGCCCTAAGTATGATCCTCAAACGGGATCGCAGAACATTATAATAACAATACTATTAAGGAATCTGAATATTAGCAGGACTATGATGTCTGAACCTCTCGGTCTTAATTTTCAACACAGGAAACCCGATAATCTATACTCCGGTAAACACAGATACGCTTTCCGTACTATATGTCAGAAAATAATAGACACCCATAAGTATACGACAAAACATCATTGACTGAGGTACTTTAGCTAGCAGAGAGAAACCCATTATATATAGGGACACTTTTTTATATACTAAATTAGGTTCTGGCTTTGTACAATGTAATCAATATACTCAGTTATTCGAGACATATACTATCAGTACCTATACTAGCTCAACTTGTACCAATTTTTAACTATTATATATAAATACTTTAATTAGACATGGCTTGTCTATCTTAAGCTGTTACTTTATGGACCGCACTTGCATTGTCTTGGACCTCACAATCACTTCATTGTTGTCGACAACCAGTGGGTTCTAGTCATTGTCGTAAGTCTCGTCTGATCAAGATAGCTGTAACGGAGGATCTACTACCTTACAGGGTAATAGCCTGCCAACTAGTAAGAATACATAGGCGGGAAGGAACGAAAGCATCGATCATTTGTTGAATAATAAAGCGGAACGCTATAGAAATGATCCTTGCTCCTTTTCCCTCCGTTTAGGGCTGTCCCTAAAAGGCATAGGATCCTCCCTGGTTGAGTGGGGTCCCAGGATTAAGAATAGGGCTGATCGGTTAGGCGATTCCTGGCTAAGCTGGTTTAAGACTGCGAGAGTAAATGGATAGTGAATACGAGATGTCAGTGGGTGTTTTCGATAACTAAAGCGTAGGATTCGATATAAGCAATACCTTGTTATAAGTAATCTGACAACAGGGCCCGGTGCTTGAATTCCCTTGATTAGATGATAATGTTGCTTAGTTCTTTGAACATGACTGTGGGAAAGACATCACTTAGAAAAAGCAATAGCGCTAGGCTAACTAGGCAGCGTCAACATAATGAGTCTAAAGTGTCGGCTCAATTACTTGCTTCTAAAGATGCTTCAAAATGGTAATCAAGTGATAGATCTGGGACTTATAGCTCCGGATAGTTCATAGAATCGTGAAGAGAACCCGGAACCTGGACGCAGAAACAGCTTAGAGATAATAAAAAGTTTCTGAATCATTAGAAACCCACCCTAAATCAATCTCGTGAATTACCAAATCTTGAACAGTGAAATTCGAGGTCAGTCAGGGGCCCAAGACACACGTGTGCCAGTGTGGAGAATATGATTGGTTCCCCGTTGTTGCTTATCATGGTTGCTGATGCGACTTGGCGAAAGCTTGGTTGGGATTCGCTGTAATCTCGTATGGTATTACGATGTATCACCATTGGACGTAATGATTGATACCAAGCCGAACTTCGTCACTCCGTACTGAGGGCTTCATGGCCACCTAAATAAGAATCAAGACTCTTTTCTCCTCTCACCTGTCCTCTTTGTCAGAAAGCCCAAAGAAAAATATGTTAAGAAAAAGGTGGGAAACATGTTCTTTCTAGACTAAATCTACACCATCCTGTACCTCTATTCTTTATGCTATATGTTAGTAGGTCTATAACGTGATATATTTTTACGCTCTTAGGGTCAAACCTGCGCTCTCCCAACAGTCCGTCATTCACCTGTCAACGCCCCTGACCCTGAGGGTGCGGCCCTACCATCTGAACTATCCTCTACTTCCCCCTGTTCCTGCGCCCGCTCAGGAGCCGGAAGCCCTGACATCCCGTAGAAAGCAATGAACCCCAGCCCTAGCACAGCCGAGATACAAGAAAACACCATCGCCACAATCCCCCTAGCTGTAAACCCAGCAGGCAACCACGCAAGCTGCTTATTCTGTCCGGTCAAGTCAAGTAGGTCCTCCGTGTTTCCGGCCGCGTTCCCTTTATCCGACACATTCCCTGCCGCACATGCTGCCCAGTGGTCGTCTGGCACTGTTGTTCGCTGTTGAATCTCTAACGGGGCTTCAATGAACACCATTGCGAGTCCTTGCATCAGGTGCCAGTCGATGTGGCAGTGGAAGAGCCAGACTCCTGGATTGTCTGCTACGAAACGGGCGACGAAGTAGCCTTGGGGAGGGACAACGAAGGTATCTCGTCTGGCTGGGTAGGCCGGGAACGACGAGTGGTTGGCTGAGTCATAGGTGACTGGATCGTCGCTGTCTGCGTAGCTGAAGAAACCGTCGGCGTATGAGGGATATCGGTTGATGACTTGGAAATTGTGCCCGTGGAGATGGAAGGGGTGCGAACCGGTATCGCCGTTGTTGAGCACAATCTCCACTACCTGGTCACGCCCTAGTACCATGGGATGCGTGTATTCACCATAGACTGTTGGATTTGTTGCCAGGTCTCCGCTTGAAAGCACTGAGTATAGGGTTGGCACTTTTGGCTTGGTATAGGAGATGTTGTTGAAGAAGGCGTAGCCGGCTCCGTTCGCGAGATTGTCCATAATGACTGTGACCTCGATCACCACGTCGGGATCTTGGAAGAGAGGAGTCCGATCGTGGGGGATGAGGGTCATATCATCGAATGGGGTTAGGTCTGATGAGTCGCTTACTGTCATCACACCCTGAGGATGATCGGCCGTAGAATTGTATTCTAACCAGTTGGTATGATTGAGCTGGAGATCGGGTTCTATGACATCCAGTAGGGACGAATCCGCAATAGTGACTATGGGGTAATTTTTCGCTGTCGAGTTCTTTGTGGTGACCAGAATGGAATACCGTTGGGCAACTGCGATGTAAAGAAGATCGGCTTCAGTTGGGTCCGTGTATACCCCATCCATTTCAACGATCGTGAACGAGTGATCTTCAATGTAGAAGTACATCCCGACAAACGCCCCTATGTTGATCAGTCTTAGCAAGTACGTCTTGCCGGGCTCAACGGTCAAACTTGACCCCTGGGTGTCATTCACGAGAAACGAATTCGGAACCGGCTCAGCACCAGTAGGGTTGGTCACACTGATAAAGGTAATATCCTCTACTAGCTCGTGGTACCAATCACTCAACGTAAGAGTGTATTCATCATCGTACATATCGTTGAAGTAAGCATCTTTATCATGCACGATCAAAGCCTGGCGATATCCATCCGGGTAGCAGGCGTCGGTATGGCAGTGGTACCAATAAGTCCCATTCTGATTCACCGTAAAGTTGTAGGTGAAGGAAGACCCAGGGGGAATTGGACACTGGGTCACCATTGAGGGGCCGTCCATGTTATTCGTGGTGTTTTGGAACATGCCATGCCAGTGGATTGAGGTGTCTTTATCGCCGAGGTCATTGTACACATTCGCGACAATACGATCCCCTTTATCCACTTCAATTACTGGCAGAGGCCATTGCCCGTTGATCCCCACGACTTTTCGCGGGTGTAGCCCGTCAGGATTGGCTGTAACCCAGGTGATATTGAAGTCGTACGTGACAGTTTTGGCCCAGCTGGATTGGATAAGAAGGGGGACTGCAAAGGAAAGAAGCAGGATCCGAGCAAGAATCGCCCTCTTGACTCAGGCAGTGGAAGTTCGTTGGGAAATCGCAGATAGGGTGGGAGATAGGAAGTGAAAGGGGGAGCCCGGTAGTCCGCAAGACAACCCTACCTAGTGAACGCCCAAAAAGGCTGTTTCGGACATGGTACGGAGTATAGATTGATAAATTACTGTACATATCAATCTTCTCAGAACCGTCATCCGAATATTGAACCTCAACAGAAACATCGGTACGAATTACGAGCCGACTGACTGGCCCTTGATGGGTCCTGAACGGCTGGTCAGAGGGCTGGTACGTTATCCGCGGAGAAAAATCATCCATGATACCTGGGAAATTGTTGTGTGACAAGCATCTGTAGGGCCCAAGCCGATGATACTGTACGTAAGAGTACTAAGAATACTAAGAGTATAAATACGTAGTAGTGTATGGACCCACTTGCTAAGAGATAGGGTCCGAGGTTTCCGATTTTGCAGCCCCGCCCGTATTAAAAATACAAAGGGAATATGAGAGGGCAAGTATACCCAGTACGAGAAGTATCATGAAAAATCCGTGTCTGTTCGCACTCGACTAACCCCCCAGAAACGTCCCACTCCCACCTGAGCCTCGTTTCCCGCCACGTCCCCCCAATGTAACATCTCGACTATCACTAATTCAACCCGAGGTTGTAGGCGAAAGATCAACCTTGTCTGTCTCCAGCATAGCACCTCAAACCTCAGTCTCTCTAACAGCAGTTCCCCTGTCACCACTGGCATTCTTCCCTCGCTCAACACCACTACTACCAACCACTTCCCTAGGATATGTCGCTATCTCCAACGGTCGACGAAGAATAGCTGTCTTGGTCTTTGCCTTGTATGCAGCAATCCGATTGATAGCCGGGTCAATCACCGCAAGGGGCCCTGCTCTCTCACGGTAGATCATGGTGCCGTAGCAGATCATCACACATATCCAATATAGATTGTAAGAGATGACAGATCCATACGTGGCCGAGTTAGTCCATCCCAGGAGGGCGTTGAAGATCCCCCAACCACCGCCCCCTCCAATTTCCGGGCTACAGCAGTTCACATGCCAGACACTCTGTCTAATATCGTATGATCCAGGCCCAGTACCCGTTTCTGCTGCATCTCCTCCAATCACTTTGTTCCATGTATTGGCTTCGAAGTACCAGACACCACGGGAGAGCAAACCGGCGGCGACGAGGTAGAGGAAGCCCGTAGAGATGACCAAAAAAACCTGCATAGATGTTGTTCGCCCAAACCTTCAAGACTTGTCAGTATCTATACCTAGAAATAACTGGTTTCACTCGAAATCCACATACCGGTAAATAATGTACCCAATCAAAATCCCAGCAGCAAGGCCACAAACCACCGCCAGCGGGAAGGAAGTTGCAGGCTGTCCCAGCCCAACTCCACCCACATAAACCACAGCCTCAAGACCTTCTCTGAGAACCGTGACAAAAGGCAAAACGAACATGGCATATTTCTCCATCCACATCTTTATTCGGCTCTGCTGCAACTCGCCTGCGGTTGCCTTGTGTTGTAGTGCCTTGGCCAGTTTCACCCGCCATTTGTCCTGGATCTTAGACACCCGAAGTAGCGCACCGCCCATGACAGAGATAATCATGGATGAAATGATCCCCAAAACGCCTTCCCAAATATACTCTGTGTTCGCGAAGGTATCGGTTCCGAGACTGTAGAATGCACCGATCATGCCGCCGCCCACCGCAAGGCAAATGAACAGTCCTAATGCGCACCCGACCCAGACCTAATCAATTCAGCGATAGATTAGGCTTTTCGTTGTTTTGTCGTGGGACGGGTTTACTACACTTACCTGTTTTCGAAGGCTTTTGTACATTACACTATCACCGCCAACATCTGGCGCCAGAGACTGCTTCAGAAAGGCCAACAGAACCGACACCACAACAGTTGTCTCGAGACATTCTCGGAAGACGATGAAGAACACTGGCAGTTTACAATAAGTCAGAGCCATGAAGGAAGGAGGGAGTAAACTGACCGGTCACTGCAAAGACTGGGTTATTTCCCATTGTCGCTATGATAAACTTTCAAGGCACTATTCACGTCTAATGGTGGGGTCAAGAGATATAACGAGGGTTCCAGGCGGGCAGTCGACTACGCTCCTATATAAGATTGACCTATATTTTTCATATAAAATAAATATTTAGTCGAGCGCGTGGTAATTAGTTTATGTATGTACCGTACTGTACATACTTGGCTTTAAGATACCGTTGTAATACGTACTCGACTTATCTGATCCGGGTCTCAAACAGACCCACTGGTGGGAATCTGATGGATTATTATCAGATTTTTGAACGACCCGTGCCGAAGACGTTCAGTGACTGTATATCCAGTTTTTTATCCGAAGAACATCCAGACGAGTGTAACCATAGGTGTGGTTACATTCTTCTTCTCAGGTCGATTCTTTATTCTTTTTCGTCTCTGCCGAAGTTCCCACACCGTTCTTTTCAGGAAAGATCTTGTAAATGTACTTAAGTTCAGAGACACATATGATCACGATTTCAATTTCCTAGTATAGAAGAGAGATCTATAGCAATAGTAGACAATATTTATAACAAGTCTGTACAATAATTGCTTTGGGTTCAATGTATAAGCACGCAGAAATCCGGGTATAAAGCTAGTTGGACCCGGTCAGGTATTACCACCACGCAGACAATGTAACAATCTTTTCGAATTCCACTGTAATTAGAATCTATTGCTCTCTTAGTACTAGAGAGAATGACTGCTTTAGCTAAAGTCAGATAGAATACCGAGAACCTATCTAGACTGAGATAGTAAAAGAGATAAGTTTATTATATTTGGACCGTGTTGTATTACGTCCTTTTCCGGTGAATTGAGATTATCATAGTGTTCTAGCCTGTTATTTACTAATAATATAAACCCCCAGAGAGGATACTTTTTCAAAGGATCGGGTGTAAAGGTCTGTTAGAGCCGGCCAGGTAAACTGCCAAGCAGACAATGTGGAAATTTCTTCGAGTCCCACTATGCAGGACGGGGGAACGTAGATGGAAGGGAATACCTATTGTAGTCTAATTAAAAGGCCGCACATTGTGTTCTTAACCCCCTACTTGTGTTCTTTTTCTCCCATGTATAGAGGTTCTGTCCGGTGTGCTTGATAACTCTTCACCACCGTGGCATCAAAAGCTGTTCGCCAAAGCAATAATGTCTGGACTAACAAGTATCTTGCTATTGTCCTCGGGGCAATGATCGTTCTTTTTATAGTCCGCCACTGGCTGGGGATTCTCTACTTCAAGTATGGTTCAAGGGAGCCAGGTCCTTTGACCGATACATTTGTTCACTGGCATCGGTGCGTTCACCAGTTTCTCTGTATGAGACCCGCTAATGGTAAGGAATAGATCCACACGGAAAACTATTGATAGGACGATATATGGCCTGCATCTTAGAAGGTGGTTACTTTACACGGTTTACTGGGCAATCAACCTGATCCTTATCTTGACCAATGTTGATTTGGGAGACCTCAAATTCGTAAGTCCGTCCCGTGAACCAAAACCTGGCGTTGAAACTGACCATTTCCCAGGTAGGAAAACACCTCGGCTGGTATCGTTGTCCTCGCCCTACTTTACATTCCAAAGTGCTCACTAGCTAATAGACCTAGGGTCACTCTTGCAAACCTCGTTCTACTGGTTTTCCTCGCTCTCCGAAATACTCCACTTGCTCCCTTGAGCGGACGATCGTATGAAAAGCTACGTCCCTACACAAGACGGCCGGGTATACGGCCATTGGCATGATGCTCCTCCACGCCATAGTTTACTTGGCTGGTTGGTTACAGTCAGGCAGTCTTCACAAGATGCAGGAAATTGATAATGCCGCCGGTGCCGTTGCTGGGGTAGCTATGTTGGTTATAGGCCTATCCACAATAGGGTACTTTATTCGAAAATCCTACGAAGGCAAGTGATTTTCGTATCATCTTCAATGTGCTCTGGAGCGAATTAGCGCTCACCTCAACGCAGTTTTCTACATGGTCCATCTCCTCATGTTTATCCTCATCATGATCATGGTAGGGATGCACCGACCCAAAATATCCACCCAAACCCTTGTGATTGTCATTTTCACGTCTTCTATGTGGTTCACGGATCGGCTGGTACGACTAGCCAAAGTTTGCTGGTTCTCAGTCGGAAATCATGCAACGCTCACTGCCTTGCCAGGAGGCACAGTTCACGTTAGGCTTAGGTGCAACATCTCGTGTCGCCCGGGGTCTCATGTGTTTTTATGGTTGCCTTCTGTTCGTTTGTTTGAGACTCACCCATTCACTATGGTCTCCTCAAACACTCCTGAGTTTGTTATCCGGGCATATGATGGATTCACCCGTGATCTCTATTATCTCGCTCATAACAAGCAAGGTCAACTGCTCAGGTGTTCTATGGATGGGGAATATGGGCAGGTCCCGGACTTCATGAAATTTGACAAGGTAATTCTGGTTGCAGGGGGTAGCGGTGCCAGCTTTACTTTTGCTATTGCTCTCGGTTTACTTGAGCAGCTAGCTGCTTGTAACACTTCAAAGCCGATAGAGTTCCCCTGGGCAATTAGGACTTTCGGTATGTGTGCCTACATCCAGCGGAAGTTTGGCCTGGCTCCCTTGAGAAAATTTGGCTGATATTTTATTTCTAGAGTCACTGAAACGGTTCGAACCACAGCTTGCCAAGCTTCAGGAAAGCTCATGCGTCAAGATTTCCATTTATGTCACCCGAGATGCGATCTCGTCCGGGGAATCGATCGTCCCGCCGATGCCAATTTCTGCTAAATCTGCAGGCCTAACCAACGCCTTGCCCAGTGGTGGCGATATCGAGATGGGATTATCGAAGATAACAGCGCCTGGGGTCACAACCGATGACTCATTTCATACGAAGAAAGGACGGCCAGATATCAGATTTCTGATCTCGGACCTCATCTCGGGCTGTAGCTCAGAGGAACGGGTGGTCATCGGTGGATGCGGCCCAATCGAGATGATTGATGCGTTGAGGCAGGTTATACGGAAGAGAAAAATATCTGGCCCATCGGTCACATTGCATACAGAGGTTAGTCTTCCTTATTGTGTTGGATGAGGAGAGATTGCTGATTGGGAGTAGGAGTTTATGTGGTGAGCGTGGACTACCTATATGCAGCGGCATAGCATAAATATCCTTGTCCTCGGGTTATTTTGCATAGAGTATTTTCAACGTCCTGGTGGGACGAAAAAGCTCCACTATTATGACTTTATGATCTCTTGGATAGCGTGCGGTACATGCAGAGTATAAATAACCCTGATGGTATCGCGGGACCCTAGTCTAGTCATAAGACATCCTTAGCTATTGGTTCAACTCTGAAGTATATTATAGGGAATGCTTGGTGATAAACTCCCATACACGACAATTTAGCTTACCAGATGAGGATCACTATATTCAAAACTACCATCGTACTACTTATCCTCATCGCCCCGCCGCTGCCCCACCCACCCAACCGATGGTAGGTAGGGGAAATCACGACGTCATGGAGATTCTCATATATTGAAGCTATACAAAACGCCATTGGCAATGTTAGAAGCGTTACACGTATGGAAGCACGTTGTCTTGGAGATCTATATAGAAGAGAGATGCTGGGTCAGGTAAGTTTGCAGAATCAGCATATGCCAGGACGCGGAAGCTGGCCTCGGATAGTCAGTCCTGAATCAAAAACTGCGGATATATTTTCTAGACAATAGCGCCTATATGCCCGAATATAATGAGTTCTCAAAATGTATGTATTACTCTTTATACTAATACTAATATTCCGTCCACGGGCATTCTCGAAGGGCATCCAAAAGACACTTAGCCTACATAGGAAATGTTCATGTTGATCTTTGTTGACGTCATAGAATAGTTGTTCTGCCCTAAGACTAAGAATTCTCATGCTTGCTTGTAGTACTTAATTCTGGTATTATTTACTAGGTATACTAGTCTACAAGCGAGGGTTATTACGAATGAAATTCAAGGTATCCGCAGTTCACGGCGCGAAAGGTATAGTTGATGTAGAATGCTCAATCGGTATACAAACACGGAATTCCATACCCCAAACGTGCATAGTATCGATATAATAGACATCTTAATGATCCTCTACTATTACACTTTGGTGTTTCGCCGTCGAGCTTGTCAGGGAGTTTCAAATTTCATATACTTTTCAGAAGGCTCATTTCTTCAGACTCCGTTGCTATAGTAGGAACAATCATGACAACAGAGCCATGCCTACTTTTCCCTTCGCAACCCCCAGTGTATGCATTCCTTCTATTACCCTCAGAAACCGTCAAATATATGCTTGGCCCTTGCTTCTGTGCGGGTGCATTAGTGTCTTTGTAATATCATACCATTAAAGGTAAAAGAACCGCCTACTACCCAGTAGCTATAATAGTCACGTTATACCTCAACAGTTTGTTGTGTCAATTATTGGTTCTTTCTAAAATTGCCCAGATGAGGGGTGCTGTTGGTGGCCACCCTCGGTCAGTAAAATTTAAACCACAAATGGCACCTACTTTCAAATTGCACTTCGTCCTGTTTGCAGACCTAAGAATCATGGCTGAACAGTTCCGGGTGACGACTGACCCGGAAATTGAACCAGACGTATGTTTCCCGGCTCACTCTCTCATTCTATATTGATATCGTTCAATACTCAAGCTAATCACGATCAGGATGCGCATTACCTTGATAACGATTCTGCTTATAATGACTCGTAACATATTCTCATGTTCAGCATTGAATCCTCCACGTTTTAGCTGACGCGCTCTATCTAGCCTTGGATCCGAAAGTTACCGGACATCGATAACATCGAGTGTCTTGAATTACAAGTGCGGCCCCTATAATCGCTGCTTTCCTTCTCTTAGCATCCCGTTACCATCTTAAGGCAAGTCGTACAGTTAGGCTAACATTCTAGGAAATCAGGTACGAGGTACGCATTGTTAGGGTCTTTTGTACAAAGGCCACATCGCATAACAGCTATTTTTGTAGAACGGTCGAAGATACCATGCGTACCGCGAAGGCGAGTATGCTCTGGTATGTTCTGTCCCCTGGGTACTTGATGTCGGGTTAGACAGTCTAACACATGTCTATAGCCAAATGATGAAGAGGAGCAGGACCGGATGGACCTACTCCACCATATCTATAACTTGATTCTTGATGGAGAAATCCACATTGCCCCGATCAAAGACCCACAAAGAGTCTTGGATATTGGTACGGGCACAGGAATCTGGGCTGTCGATTTTGCGGAGTACGAGACCAAATTATCCAAGTTGTCCTTTCTTGCATCGTTCTATTCTTCCACATGCTGAGCTTGTTTTGCCCTAGTCAATATCAGTCCTCCGAAGTGATCGGTACGTGATACAGATTTTGTATTTTTGCTTACTTTGAGCTAATATTCTATACTGCAGGCAATGACCTTAGCCCTATACAGCCAAAATGGTGAGACATATCAGTGTTGCAATGCCAATGTTGGAATATCTCTCTTTTTTCCTGACACGATTCTAAGGGTTCCTCCAAACTGTCAATTTGAAATCGATGATTTTGAATCGGAATGGTCGTACGCTCATCCATTCGATTACATCCATGGTCGGGAGCTTGCTGGGTCCATACACGACTTCCCTCGCCTATGCAAACAAGCCTTCTATCATCTGCGTCCAGGTGGGTTTTTCGAGATACAAAGCTTTACTGTCGATATTTTTTCCGACGACGGCTCGATCGAAAAGGCACCTTACACAAAACAGGTCGTTTCTCTTGTCCAAGAGGCGAGTGCCAAGTTTGGCAAACCTATGGACAATTTGGATACATGGCCCGCCGCGATGAAAGAGGCCGGGTTCACAGATGTAGTCTGCAAGATTGTGAAAGCACCTTCGAGTCCATGGGCCAAGGATCCAAAGCAAAAGGAGATTGGCCGATTTTTCCAGGCTCACCAAGTTCATAGCGTTCCTGCATATACCAATGTTTTGCTATCCAGGGTTCTAGGTTGGAACAAAACGGAGATTGACATCTTGAATATGCACGTGCTGCGGGAGTCGAAGAATCTGGAAGTGCACCAATATGGGAAATTGTACCTTATATACGGGCGAAAAGCATTGTAGTGTTTTCTTTTCCTCTTTCAACATTGATTTATCTCCTCTCTTGCTTTTTCCTATGTCTCAATTTTTCACTAGATCGGTGGTTGTTTGGCTGTATGGGGAGTCTCACCATATGCAGTAATAGAGTGCTGAATATCATATCAAAGTGTTCGCTTCGTTCAGCCTAGATTGATTCGGAGTCAGAAGACATGAGAATTCTTCTCATGCATGTGACATTCGCAACTCAGAGGGGCATCATTTAGGTTATTTCTGACTGAGGCAGAATTATCCGTGCCTGTGCTACAAAAATTACGAGGTTAGTATAAGTAGCTACATGAGTCGAAAAAAAAAAATTAAAAAAATATGAGACATTTTAATTCGTTCCTTCCATCTCTTATTTTACTGAGATAGAATAATTGGCGAGTAATTAACTCGACGACCCCAGGACTATGTCCAGGAAGATACCCACTTCAACAACCCAGCAAGCTTTCAATTGTGTTCTTATTTTTGAAGTCTATCTATTTGAACAGTGGATATAAGACTTGAAGATAATTGGTTCAAAAACCCATTCAGGGACTGTAACATCCCACTGAAACAAAGCTTGTTCCTGAACTTTATCAAAAAGAACTCATGTCTTCGGCAGATGATATCGGAATGTACTTGATATATCCGCGTGCAGTTTTACGGATCGAACTTTGCATGAAAGAGAAGTCCTGTTTGTGGTATCTAGACCATAGGTTTGCTCACCTAATAGTACATTATAGGACAAGGACTGTGCCTCTACTCATTTGATAACGTACTTGTGCATTTAACATGTATTAGGATGTTTCTCGGGTCGTGTACAATACGCTTCTGGGGGTTGGGTTGGAGTGTCATCCACAAATGGTATATCGAAAGATGCTGAAAGGGATGAAAGAGTAAGAGTCACGACTTGCGAAGATCAGACTAGCATGGGTATTTCAAGCCGACGGTTGTCCTTCCCAAAATCCAGATCACTTGTTCGACATAATAGGGGTCAACTCCTGGGCATTCCTTTCTGATTAGGTATTATATCCCACAGCTAGGATATAAGGCTAAATCATCGCAAGGAGTAAATTTGGTTCATTTCAGGATATAGTAATCAGAAGCCACAAGCAAGTATTCTGTTGATTCGAATGATTGACGTGAACGATGGGGGGGAGTCGTTGGGTCCACTTATGATCTGCCGGCTCGTTCCCAGAGCTTCTTGGGATAGACCCTTCCCAGTCTTGACTCGATTATAAGGATATCCACCTTACATGATCTACACCGAAGGATTCTTTCTCCCAAAAAGAAGCCTTTTCTTTTTGCCATGGAGGTCGAATTAACCCCTCATAGTGGGTACAAAGATACCTACCGAGAGGAAGAGTGGCAACTACCAAATATTTCCGCCAGGAACATATAGGACAGTGATGTCATGACCCATTGGGACTCAAATATGAGATTTCCTCGACAGACGGCTTATCTACGTATTACTCCGTACGTACCTAGGTAGTGTAGCTCTCTATCTTCGGCTGAACGGAGTGAAGTTACTTAAGCTGTAACCTTAACCTTATTACCGTTTCTGCAATACGATGCTATAATGCTCAAAGCTTGATATAGAGCGGATACGCTAGATAGACCGCTGCGGTTCACGTTCACTCACTCTGTCGTTATTTATATATTTATGTTTTATTTTATTTTGTAATATTTCTTTTTCCCCTCAAGTAAAGTATGTAGTTGAGGTACGTGGTCAAACTTTAATCTATGAGGTAACCGAGACTGCTCCATAGTACAAATATCTCCATCCCTTATATCGAGTACGGGGCCATTTATAGTTTTTTATGGTCAGTGATATGGACTTAAAAAAAAAAAGCACAGACCATTAGCCGAGTCATGGGGCCGAGGAAATGGCAAGCTAAATGACTAGCTGAGGCTTGCCTCGGAAAACACATGCAAAACACCGAAGACTCAATTTCAATATTTGACTCGCCTTTAAGGTTCATGAAACGGTGAAACCCTCGTGGTTCCACCAAATGCAATTGAGTCTCGATGTTACTGTGGAAAGGTACTAGTATCAGTCTGACCATGGTATCAGATCTCTGGACTTGGAGCCTCTCTCCTCTTTTCTTTTCTTTTCTTTTTTTTTTTCTTTTCAATTTTCTTCTCGAGTTTGATTTTGTATTTATTTGTGCTTATAATTAGGGATTTCTTACATGGGAAATTCGTAGAAACTTCGATTGACTGACAGTCTTAGGATGAGGGACCTGTTGGGCTCCAGGCTCAGGTGGTCTGCTACCCAAACGGTGTTAGCCCTAATCCACAATTCTCCACACGGTGTGAGGCCACAATGCTGAATTAAGACCAGTTAGAGTGAATTAGGAGTAACCTCACTAAGGGAGGGACGCGCGGGGGTTGGTCCGTCGATACTGATAGTACGTAAGGTAAACGAGAAATTACCTTGAAGTTCGAACCTTGACTGCCGACTTCGCTACCCAGATCTGCTACGGTGCTACCTTTCCAGTGGCTCCACCTTAGTGATCATTGGGGTATAGCACGGGAGGACACGGACTTGAAACTAATGGTGGACTAACTGCTTAAAACTATAAGAATGACTATTATAATATAAATATTATACGAGACAGGCTTAATATATTGTTGGTGCACGGACCGTAGAAAAAGGCAATGTAACGCGATTGGTGGCCAGCCTCGTGTCCACGGGACTTGGCAATTTCTTAAGTGAAGTCGCAGCTGTGATGACCACCAATTGGTCCTTGTCTTCCAGGGGACGCGTCGGTCGGCTGAATATCCTCAAATCAGCGACGTTACAACGGCAAAATGTCACTTATCCCAGGCACTGGAATTTCTTTTAACTTTTTGGACTCGGTGGCTCCGCCCAGGGGTCCAGACGTTGCTGCGACCATTAGTGGTCCATGACTTAGATCGGCCACAAACTACGGTGGAGTAGAACGTGAACGATGGGTCATGGATCTGCCTATCACCACGCTTCACTGAACGTGAAACCCCGGTAGTATTCGGATTTGCTTCTGTTTTTGCGATCGCGTGGCAGCACGCTACGCAGTGGAGGGGCAGTCCGGCATCCCTCCAAACCCCATGGTGCGCCTGCTTTTGAGCCTACCTGCAGGGAATGCAGTGGCTCTGGACCTAGGTCGGCCATGGGGAAATATAAAAGCTCAAAATCCTAGCCCACAAATACCACGAGGGCTGTCCCCGGGTTCTCAAAAAGACATCATTGATCGGCGTCCCGGGTTCCAAAGGGACAAGGATTGTTCTTCTCACGAATTAGGCTGTCATACTCTTGCTGGTCTCGATTGAGAGTGGGCGCGCCCTACTCATGAGGATTGTGAAGTATATCATCTTGCCAGTCTCCCCATGTCGGTATATTACTTCGATCCATCCATATCTCCTTGCTCCTTATCAGCCTTGACACGACGTTAACACCACACCCTAATGATGGCCTATACGATCCTTACCACTCGACCTGGGTGCTAATGGCAATGATCATATTGGACTGAGTAATAAAAATCCAACTACTGTACAACGACAAGGGCGATTACCATCATCAACAACTTGCGGTTCTCCGGACTAAACACGAAACATGAAGCTGCCCCCAGCCGATGTGTTGGCGACATGGCCAACACCGAATTATATCGACCCTACCACCCGTGGGAATTCTGTCCTTATCGTGACCATCGTCTTTTCCGCCCTAGCTTTTATCGTAACTTGCCTCAGACTCTATACTCGCTTCAAGATAACATGCAGCCCTGGCATTGACGACATCCTTATCGTAGTCGCGCTGGTATGTTGCACACGACACGGGGCTTTACTGGCTGACTCTGACCTGCTTTTAGGCATTTACAATTGCGATGTGCGTGGTCATCTGCTTGGCCACTGAACAATATGGGTGCAACCGACATATATGGGACGTTCCATTGGAATGGCTTCCAACTGCCTCCAAATTCAACCTCCTCTTCCAAATTCTTTTTTCCCTATCATCCAGCATCACGAAGCTCGCGCTGTTATGGTTTTGCAAACGACTACTCGGAGCCGGTAGCAAGGGTCTCTATACCACATACAATATAGTGTTGATTGGGGCAATGGTCTTGGTGGCACTGCTGTGTCTTATCTTTTTGTTCGTCTGCATTTTCCAATGCAGGTATGTTTACCGTTTCTCTCTTTGCTTCTTCTTGCGTCTCACATTATACCGATATTTTAGCCCGATCCATGCCTACTGGGATATGCAACCAACATACCCTCATCGCTGTTTAAATGATGGGGCCGTTGTATTCGCCGCTAGTGTCATCAATATCTTTACCGACTTCTTATCCACGGTAGTCCCGATGCCATTGATCTGGAATCTTAAACTCCCGGCCCGGCAGCGTATTGCTGTGATGTCCATTTTTAGTCTTGGAATTGTGGTCAACGTTGCCGGCACCGTCCGGACGGTCTACGTGTATAAGAGTATGATCGCCTCGTACGACATGACTTGGTTAGGCTGGCCGGTCTTTCTCGCTGCTTCAATAGAGATCAACCTGGGATTGGTATGTCTAAAGGTCGCAAACCTCCTCTTAGGAAACGTTTCTAATATTCATTAGATCTGTGCCTCTGCGCCCGCCTTGAGACCTCTCGTTGCATTTTTCTTGCCAAGGCTACTCCAGTCCACCCAGAGATACGCGTCCGGATATGGTCAAAGCCGTCCTCAGAAGTTATGGTCGTCGGTCAACCCGTCGAGGCACTCTACCAAACCCTCCAGGGGCCGATCGCATCATCATCATCATACTGACAGCCAGTTGGAACGATTTGAGATCTACCGGACGGTTGAGATGGAAACTTGGACCGAATCCCGGAACCCACACGATCCGACCGGTAATGATCATAGCATGTCATCCAATCATGCTCGTGTCACGACGCCCAACCAAGATTTCGATCTTAAGTATGACAGTGCGGTATACACATCGCCTGGCAGCGAGAAGTCTTCCGCATCTCTTACCCGACAAACCAGCTCGCCATTCAAAGACAAACATTCCCTATGACATTCCTTCAGCCTTTCCTACCATTATCATGTTTCAATAAGCATTGACTGCTAATTTACGATCCTTGAGCTCGAACTCTCTTTACGAAACCACACGTTTCTCATAACCTTTTCCGCCACACCTTACATTGACTTCTTGTACATTTGGGGAAAACTACATGTATTAATACATACGATACACTACATTTGTTCGATCGGACAATGCAAATAGAAGAGGATGAGAATGAGAATGAAAGAATTACACCCAAGCACTGTATACTTCCACCCTCCCTACGCAACAGCACACAAAGGAGGCCCCCACCACAAAGCCCTTTTGGAATAAATCCCGCCATCCCCACCATCTCCACATTTCCGAAATAAATCCGTTGATAGTCGACGCCGATGTGGCATGATTTCTATTTAACACGTCAGTATTATTACTAACAGATTAAGGATGGATGTAGGTCCATACACTACGCTGCCTACTTAAATTACATGCATATCTAGTCGTATAGATCCCTGTCCGCCTAGAACCTAGGAACCAACCTCGGCCGTTGTTGGCGAATCATGGTAGACTAATATTTCCGGCCTCCGTCGGCCGGCAATCTCCGTGGAATACGAAGCCCTAATGGTGACGACTAGCGCGGGGTGGAGATGTATCAGGTTAGTAGGGGCCTCGCGTAGATCTTGGTAGGATCTGGAGTACCAAGAGGCCTATTAGCCTAATAACCCCATATAATGGTGGGAAGTTGCTGGTATCTGAGATATCGTTATTGTTAGGGGATATGGTCGTTGTTGGATGTCGTGATTGTAGTAGTATCCCTGTTGCCATTCATAAATATTGTATACTACTAACCATGTGCTGGTGTCGCGGCATCATCCTGGAATTGCTTCTACTGAGCACTAAGTCATGCTTGTTACTAGCAGTTGCAGCTGCAGCCGCGGCTGCAGCTACGCCGCTGATTGATCCCCCTTCTTCTGTGCTCTTAAAGGTTAACTGGATACTAGTAACTTGATACTTATGTGAGATTGTGGGGTCTACTACTAACCCCTGCTATTACTACCAACCTTCCAAATCGTACTTAAGCCTGTCCTATATCTAGGGTACGTACTTTTGACACCTCTTTTCCTCGGTGGGATGCGCTAAGAATAGGTACCTCTCTCTTAGTTACATTCACCTTGCTAACTAATAAGGAAAGGCATTGAGATCCACACATTATATTACGGTCTTAGCCAATTCAGAAAGACAGCACGCGAGTCAGTGGAGCAGACGAGAAGACTAAACAGGGTATCTTCCCTTTTTCAGGGTCCGGCCAAGAGCTGACAGAGGTACTAGAATTCATAGTTTACCTGATGGTCTGAACAACGGGCTCCTTACGTTTCCTTCACTGGTAGCCGTACTAGGTACATGTATTAATTGTCTCAGCTGCGGTCACCGTATCATGCGAACATACCTTAGGTTAACTCGATGCTATCTTTGAACTCAGTAAACATACCATCATTGAAGCCTTTCCATGTCAATCCATTATACGCACCACGGATGTGTCCATTCGTTATTATCAGGTTTCGCCAAGATAAGGCTAGAGGCAAATTACCTACGAAACAGCTTTATCACATTTGCCATCTTCGCTCAATTGTGAAGGAAAGGGGTATTATAAACGGCTACAATTGAGTATTGCTCTTCGATGGTTACTTAAGACCAAGCCTACTCACATCCTTGACTTCCGATGTGATTCAGGCTAATCTATCCGGTGCATATCTTTTGTACATCAACCATCTGATTTTGACAATATCAGCCATAACCATACCTGTATGTCACTCGATAATAATTGGTATTATGTGGCACTCATTTGTGACGGCCGGCTTCTCCAACCTACGAGGTGTAGATCGGCCTGTGTGTGAACCGTCAGTAGCCGACCAGTCATACACCTTATAAATTAGAATCAGCAGCAGTCCCTAGTATTAACGTGGTGAAAAGAGCATTCTATTGTTAATGATCTCACACTACCCTGGCCGGCAGATTCCTGTTACCATAACCCCTCCTCTGATAACGTCATGGTAGGGCAATTTTTGAAGCTTGACTGCACGCTGAGCGCCCCAGAAGGAGTTGCAAGCATCATTATCGTCAAGCTACGCCCTACTATCCTTCATTTATTCCTACTGACGAGGCTTGTAAAGAAAGCAATTTACATGTCACCATCGGCACCCTCTAGTCGCAGCCATGCACATGGGTACCCTTACTAAAGATACGCATCAGCAGAAGTCGTCATGATTACCGTGACATGTCTTGATTTATGAAAGGTCTGCAAAGAGATGAGTCACAGAGAAAAAGGTTTCCTGTTAGAATTACAGATGGAGAGTGCCTGCCCAGCTTCCTCCAGCATACAAGCAACGCACAATACTAACCACCAAACAACCGACCATACAGCAAACTAGATACTGTGCATCCAGCATAATGGCACAAGCATCCATTCTGACACAGAATATTCCTCTGGAGTATTTCCCAGCACCCACCGAGGAAGAAATCCATCCATGGTCTCAGACATCTCGCGTAGTCCTAAGCCAGCCACTCCTCAGAACCTGGGATGCCCACTCGGCCGTCCAGCCAACCTCAACAAACAGCATGTATTCAAGCTGTCCATGTCAACTACTAGATACTTTCGAGGCCCGGGCATTATCGTTAGCCATCCACGCCCATGACAGCAACCAGACACCAACACCGTACATCTCATTCACCATTTGCGCAGAAGAAGCACAGCGACTTGCCCAAACAAGGGCCAGGACGAGGGGCTCTCAGATGCTTACGGTTATCAATCCAAGGGTCCTGGAAGCCCACGGTCGATACCTTCTCAGTATGGTTAACGAAATGCATTACTATGGGGTAAGAGACCCACACGGGATGTTCTATCAGGACTATCAAGATGAATACCTCTGCCTCTGGGTGGTTGAAGAAGAAGAGGTTGTTGGACATTGGAAATGGGACGAGCTCGTTGAGGTGGATGATTGGTATGAAGCCATCATCCTGCCTGCGTTCAGAGATCACGATGAAAGATTCACTGCTCGTCTCTCGGGAATCGGTTCAGATATCTCGCCCCATACATCTGCGAGTGCTGAGTTGATATCAAGGGAACAAACCAGTAGATGGGACGCAGATAACCCCCTTGATCTAGATTACCCATCTTATCAGCATCAGTACTCGTCGGGTGAAGGATACAACGAGTCATTTGAGGATCATAGTGATCTGAACGACAGTTACTACGAGGCTGAGGCTAACTCAATCGGTTATTTGCTCAACCTCTCCGAGAATTATTAACTAGGACTCAAGCTGTGGGTAAAAGTGTCTAGGTTCTTGGTAGCTAATACTTTCTGGGTTGCTTGACATGTTCTCCTACAAGGCTAGGCCAGCCGCCAATGTCTGCGTTCCATCGAGTCGGAACTTGCTAACAATAGTCTGGGAGCTTATATAGCGTCTCTGTGACAAATGATATTATATTGGCCGACCTGATATCCGTAGGGAAAGTGTTTGCAGTAATACTGTTTTACATCATTACCTCGTAGATAGATGTCGAATTTATTTGTATTTATGTAATGGTTTCCCATAGTAGCCGATATAGGATCGTTTCGTTGTGTCCTATGTTGTGTTAGCAATTACCTTTTGCAACTCACATCCATAGATAGCGTTGTACTGTTTTCAAGGAGAGCGTGTGCCTTTTCTTAACCACTGTTAAGGTGTGGCAAGGAAAGGAGTTAACGTCTGTCCTGGATATATATCACAAGTTTATATTATAGAATAAGGTACCGACTCCAAGGCCTCAGGGACATATACGATTTGGTATCATTCTTTAGGGCCGCATACCAGTTTCAGCCATTTTCAGTTTGGCTATACTTCAGGGAGCCTTAGGGAGACCGAAGACCGCAAACTCAACCGCAAACGGCTGAGATATCTAAAGCATACACTAAGCCTGACGTGAGATAGCAAGTTGAAATCAGGCTCCTAGAAATATTCTATTCGGACATCTCCGTCGCACCGCGATTATATCTGTCCATCATTTTGATTTCATAATGATCAACGGGCTTCATGGATTGGTAATGCCCCATTTATGAGGCTTATAGGGCAGGCCATTAGACTGTACCGGTCTTGATAGTACTGAGTGAGTCACTCGCTATAGATAAAATTTCATTGGATCTAAGGTTAACTTCATTGCTACGAAAGTTACATTCACTTTTACACATCGAACGCCTGGCACATGGTACTGATTGGATGGAGTCACCAGGAAAGCACACGAATCGGTTGCGTCCCACCTTAGGGAGGGAAGGGTTTAATTTAATGTTAGATCCCCTACTCAAATCTGCTCACCACTCTTTCTTGATGGAGGGTGTAAACTTTTCCTACATTTCTCAATTTACTGTAAGAGTGAACGATCTTCGACAAAAAAGTGTTTCAATGCCTAAAACCCGATCTGTCTGAGTCTTAAAGGGGGAGAGGAGCGGTGGTAGCAGGTAACCATTAGTAGGCCACATTGATAGAATTTTTAAACACTGACTGGTGGTCTTTAGTAAAGGCTAGGTTAGATACTTAGATTATAGGACATAGTCTCTAATAAAATGCCCCACCCCATGCGTCCACTGGTTAGGTGGAAGTGGGCTGGCTTGAGCTTTCATTAACGCCTGTGTAGTGATTTTGAGAAGAGAGTAGAACAGGGGTATAGAGAAATTTCCTGTGTCGTTGTTTACCATGTACTTGTACTGAATGCTGAGGCTGTGAAGGCTAAAAGGATTGTGGTTCTCTGGGGGTTTCTAAGAGTAGATCTCCGAGTATGCTCAGCGAATTAATATTGTTGGAACAGGATATATAGTGAATCATATTCTGATAATTTGATCTCCGAGTATGTACAGTGTCAAATGTTAGTAAAGCCCAAAGCAAGGGGTAACATAAATGAAGTGATCAATGTGACCCAGATTCAGAAGTGATTACTTGTCACTGTGAGGCTGCCCGCTAACAGACGCAAATAACTCACATTGAAAATTGCTCTTTCGGGAAATAACATACTACGCCCAGAAATCCTGGCGGAACGATACTGGCCTAATCAGAGCTTACAGTTGGGATCCGAAAGTATATGACCCACTATTCTTATAGGTACTCAGCGGCTCTGAGCGTCTATAAGAAGCAGTTAGGTAACTGTAAGTATAGGGGCCCAGATCTCAAACCAATCGAAGTTTCGAAATGTTCACAAAGTATTGTAGAGTTGCATCACACTGCCACACTCCGTAGTCCAAACAGATTTGAGATGGATTTGGGTCGGGGGAAGCAAGGAACATGTGCCACTATAGTTAGCTCGGTTACTTTGACTAGGCTTAAGCCACTCTAACTAGTGATTCGGATTGTTTGCAGGAAGCAATGGATTCTGGCTCTGTCAGGTGGCTATGCTGCGTGGGACTGGCCATGGTTGTAGGTGGCTTGGGGTCAACGCTTTCCTTGTCGGCCCAAATGCAGAGATAGATGTCTAGCTTTGCGAGCCTGCCGTTTCTCCCCTCTAGTTTGTTTTCCCCCTTTCTGTTGTCTGAAGGCCGCTTTGTGGAACTCTGCTGGTTCTACCAGAGAAGATCAACAGAAATATTGAACATAGAATTGAGTTCGCCACCAATTGTATGGTTAAAATTCAGTTTGAACTCTAAAAGGCATTTCTGTAACAGGCCAGATAATTCGCGTAGTCACGGAGCAGTTCCTGGGCTTTGGGGATAGCTGGGGTGGTAATCTGAGCTTCAAGTGACTGCACCAGTTTCATAAGCCGTTCGCTATCTGGGCGTTGGAAGCAGGTTGCGCTTCAGCCAGGGCTTGAACTGTGTTTGCGAGGCTCATTACCAGCGCGGTCAGTTGCGCCAGCGTGTCGGCGTTGCCCATTGGTGTTTCTGGGGTATTCATCGGGTCTAATGGCTGGGAATTGTTGTACTGAATTCCTGATACTGTTTCTGACAGGGAGGTGCACGTTAAAGCCACGGACGGGGGTCCAGTCCGCGATGATCTAAGACTATCCAACAGAGAATTGTCATCTTTGTCGTTAACCACTTCGGCCATCTTTTGCATGTCTTTCTTTCTTATCCTGCCTTGCCAATTCCGCTTTAAGAGGCTCCACTGTAAGAAACGCAGCTCAATTCAAGTTTGCCCGGTCTTTGTAATGCGGCCAAACCAGGAAAGATTAGTATGTACTCAGTATGTAGCACCGATGATCTTCTAGTAGTTGACTCGAGACCCTAAGCCGGGAATATGCATATACTATTGAAAATAGCTATATTAATTCTTGTACTTGGAGATTATGCTTCGTAGATCTTCAGTAGTCACACGCGGCTGTCAGTCCTTATCGCACGCCCCGGCTACTGATAACCGCGTAAACGTGACGTCTTATCGGCTTATCGTTGGGGAAAGAACTAAAAAATGATGGAGCTTCAGTTTGAGAGGGAGTTGACACACTCCCTATAATAATGACAAACAGCAATTGATGGTTCGAATCTTTGACTAAGATTATTTGCAATAGATTCCGGCGAAGACCTTCTTCATTGGGACAAATATTTGGCCAGAGATGATTAGCCAGAGCGTTTCCCTCTGTGTCCTTACCTCGCTTTTATCGCCGACGGCGGTGGTAGAACACACCCTGATTGGTCCAAATCGCCGACAATAGCTCCCCCCAGGCCGCGGGGCAGCTCAAGAGAGAGCTCCAAAGTCGCCGGCATTCCACAGAAGACCTAGAATTTTTGGTGATATAAGACTAGCTGGGCGCCGCAATTCCCCTTGTTCCTTTGTATTCTACTCAATTTCCAAATTATACCCCTGGCGGATTCAATTGCCTTGTGACTCGAGCTTGGTTGAGCTGTGATCAAAGCGATAGAGCTCTTATCTACCTTATCACCGTCTCCCCACATCTTGCTGCCAGGAGTATTTCTTCTCCCCCAACCCACGCAGCGGGAGAATTGCCACACCTCTGTACATCCTCATTTCTCACTATAAATCGATCATAATGGCCTCCATTGCTCGCTCCAGCCTCAGGTTGCGCTCGGTGACGCGCGTGCCGACTGCCCGCGCTATCAGCACCACTCCGCACCTTCGCGCGGCGGCGAAGCCCTTCTTCGCTGATGAGCCCGCTGCTCCTCAGTTGGCCACCGCCATCCCGGGTCCTAAGAACAAGGCTGCCACGGCTGAACTGGACAAGGTCTTTGACGTGCGAAGCTTGAACATGCTCACTGACTATTCCAAGTCTATTGGTAACTAGTATGTCACTTGCTTCGCGATAACGCATGCTTGCCGTGACAATGGCTAACAATGTGCTAGTATTGCTGATCTGGATGGAAATGTCCTCCTGGATGTGTAAGTTCGATTTTAGTGCCATCTCCTTCGTACTTCCTACCTGATCGCTGATGTCGGTCGCTAGATACGCTCAGATTGCTTCTATCCCTGTTGGCTACAACAACCCCCATCTCACCAAAGTTGCTCAATCGCCCGAGATGATTACCTCTTTGATCAACCGACCAGCCCTGGGCAACTTCCCCTCGGCTGACTGGGCTGACATCCTGAACACCGGTATCCTCAAGGTTGCCCCCAAGGGCCTGAACCAGGTCTTCACCGCCATGGCGGGATCTGACGCCAATGAGACTGCCTACAAAGCCGCTTTCATGTACTACCGCCAGTTGCAGCGTGGAGGCCCCGAGAAAGAGTTCACTGAGGAGGAGTTGAAGACTACCATGACGAACCAGGCTCCAGGCTCTCCCCAGCTGTCGATCATGTCCTTCAAGTCTGGTTTCCACGGTCGTCTCTTTGGTAGTCTGTCTACCACCCGCAGTAAGCCCATCCACAAGCTCGACATCCCTGCCTTCGACTGGCCCCAGGCGCCTTTCCCCTCCCTCAAGTACCCGCTTGAGGAGCATGCTCAGGAGAACGCCCAGGAGGAACAGCGCTGCCTCCAGGAGACGGAGCGTTTGATCAAGGAATGGCACAACCCTGTCGCCGCCGTCGTGGTCGAGCCGATTCAGTCTGAGGGTGGAGACAACCACGCCTCGCCTGCCTTCTTCCGTGGTCTGCGCGAGATCACCAAGCGTAACAACGTTCTTTTCATCGTCGATGAGGTGCAGACTGGTGTTGGTGCCACTGGAAAGTTCTGGGCCCACGACCACTGGAACCTCGAGACCCCTCCCGACATGGTGACCTTCTCGAAGAAGGCCCAGACCGCTGGTTACTACTACGGCAACCCTGCCCTGCGTCCCAACAAGCCGTACCGTCAGTTCAACACCTGGATGGGTGACCCCGCTCGTGCCCTCATCTTCCGTGGTATCATCGAGGAGATCGAGCGCCTGAACCTCGTCGAGCACACCGCCCAGACTGGTGACTACCTCTATTCTGGTCTCCAGCGCCTTGCTGAGAAGTACCCGGAGCACCTGCAGAACCTCCGTGGTAAGGGCCAGGGAACCTTCATTGCCTGGGATACCCCCAAGCGTGATGAATTCCTCGGCAAGGCCAAGGGCGTTGGTGTCAACATTGGTGGAAGCGGAGTCAATGCCGTTCGTCTCAGGCCCATGCTGATCTTCCAGCAGCACCATGGTAAGTCAAATTTCTACTCTAGTTTCAAATGTGTCAACCCGATGCTAACATGTCTGCAGCTGATATCCTCCTGGAGAGCATTGAGAAGATCATCAAGCAGCTGTAAGGAACTTGTGGTTGGCATGACTATCATTTTCCATTGAATTTGCATCTCTTTCTGTTTCCCTGAATTGGCAGAGTCTGGCGTTCATTGTTGGGTTGGGTGGGTCTCTCCGTGTCTGATTGGCACGCTGTCTACGAGTTATGTTTTTTTGAAGCTGTTAGCACATATATATAGCAAACGGCAATCTGATGCCGTCCCAAGGTGCATCGATTTTGCATGTTGGGTATCGAACAAAATCCAACTGTTTATCTTCAAAAAAAAAGGAGTTCTCAAGGTCGTGATGAGTCACAAAAGAAAGGGGACAACTCCAGCGTAATAACAAAGCAGCCCATACCCAAAGACGTATATCGAACGTAAACCGAAATCCGTAACTCCCAAGTGCGTGCAACGGGAAGGAGCAGCCCGTTATGAAATCCCCGACAACAGAACCATCCCATCCTTTCTAGCCAGGAGATCTGGGAAAAATTGTAATAATGCGCGCCTCGAACCACAGAAAAACCACCCGATCAAGTCTCCTCTTCACCAGTGCTACCATCGCGAGGAATATACTTCACACCCGAGTCCTCCAAGCTCGAAATGATCTCATCTGGGAGCTACAAAGTAAACAAACCACCACGTCAGTTTCAGGTCCAGCCAAAGAAAAAATTGCGTAGAGGACATAACCCAATCAGAACATACCGATCCAGTCACCTTGACGGCATATGTTCCCGGCACGTAACTATCGAGTCGCTGCCAGCGAGCCACCCAGCTGGTGTTGGGGTCACGGAGGGTGACCAATCCTTCAAAGACTTGGGAGGTGCATTCTTGAATGGCGTCGTTGTTGCCACGGAGGCCGAGGACGTTATCGCAGTTGGGACAGCCTTCGCGCATGAATTTCTATTGTGCAGAATGTGTCAGTTTATCACGGGCGGGTCTTTCTGTTTTGGTTATGCAGTCTTGATCCTGATTTGAACGTACGCTGTGCAGTTGGACGAGAGAGCAGACCATGCAGGCGCGAAGAGTGCGCTGCTGGCTGGGTGCGACGTAGAAGGACATATGCTGTGTGCTGTGTGCTGTTTGAGATGGGGTAGGATTTCGATGGAGTGAAAATTATTAAATTGCAACGACGGACCTCGTTACTGGGAGACTTTCGGAGAGGGGCGCGAGGTGAAAGAATCGAGGTGGCTTTTTGTGGGCGGAGAAATGAAGAGAGAAACAGAGAGAGGTTGTTGGAGTGAATTGATTTGATCGATTGATTTGATGTCGGAACGGAAATGCCAAGACCGGCGACTGGAGGGAGGATCTTCGGGATTGAATTCCAAAAAAGTAATCCAGCCACTGATAAGAAAATAGATTCAAGGGTCCAAATTCCTGCAGAAATTCCGCATTCCTCCCTCAGGAACATTAATCCGTTCGATTTGAATCTGTCTCCTTCCGTCGTTGGAAGCTTCTTCACCCCCTAAGCTAGTGAAGGAGTAAGTCAGCCTTAAGGTTCCCTTCCCGTGGACGATCAACCGTTGTCTTTCCTGCAAACGCTCTCGTGCCTTCCTGCCGGAAAACCCCTCTTCCCTCTCTTCTCTTCCGTTCTCCGATGGCGTCGTCCGACCTCGAGGCTGCCACTGCGCTTAAGGTGCAGGGCAACAAAGCGTTCGGTCAGCATGAGTGGCCTACTGCCGTGGATTTCTACACCCAGGCCATAGAGAAATATGATCGCGAGCCGTCGTTCTTCAGCAATCGCGCTCAGGTACGTTGCGCTCTGGGCAGGTTTTTTTTTTTTTTTAAACTGCCGACTGCTCTGCCTTTTAGCCCTGAAGGCGAAGGGGCAACAGAAGGATAGAGCGACAGCTTGCTAACTGCTCTAGGCGCATATCAAACTCGAGGCTTATGGCTTTGCGATTGCCGACGCCACCAAGGCTCTTGAGCTCGACCCCGCCTACACCAAGGTCAGTAACATACGCCCCTTCGACTATATATTCTCTTTCATTTCCTTTTCTCTGCTGGAAATATTGCACTGCTGAATATCCAGAACCATTTTCGAAGAGGAAATGTCTTGTCAACCGACTAACTTGTTCTAGGCATACTGGAGGCGAGCCCTAGCCAACACCGCTATCCTCAACTATAAAGATGCCCTGAGAGACTTCAAAGTCGTTGCGAAGAGGGAGCCCAATAACCGCGATGCGAAGGTAAAACTGGCAGACTGTGAGAAGCTTGTGCGTCGGATGGAGTTTGAGAAGGCCATTGAAGTGGGTGACCCGCCGTCGGCCTTCGAGGACCTGGACATCGACGCCATTGCGGTCGACGACAGCTATGATGGTGTGCGATTGGAGAAGGAAATGACGCAAGAGTTCATCGACGATATGATTGAGCGGTTCAAGAATGGCAAGAAAATCCATCGCAAGTATGCCTTCCAGATCGTCAAGGCTGTCAAAGATATTGTGTATGCGGAACCAACGATGGTCGAGATCGGTGTGGACCAGGGTACCAAGTTGACGGTTTGCGGTGATACGCATGGTATGCTTTCTTCACGCTTCGCTCCGTTTTCTCTTCACCCCGGTTCTCCCCTTTGGCTGGTCACTGACACATTGCGACAGGACAATTCTTCGATCTGCTGGAGATCTTCCGGTTGAACGGATACCCTACCGAAAAGCACGCATACCTTTTCAATGGTGACTTTGTGGATCGCGGCTCTTGGTCTACTGAGATCGCCTTGCTTCTCTATGCATACAAGTGGCTGCGACCGAATGGCATCTTCCTCAACCGTGGAAACCACGAGACGGACGATATGAACAAGGTTTACGGATTCGAGGGAGAGTGCAAGGCGAAGTACAACGAGAGGCTGTTCAAGGTGTTCTCGGAGTCCTTCTCTGCTCTGCCATTGGCTACATTAATCGGCGACAAGTATCTTGTTCTCCACGGTGGTCTCTTCTCTGACGACAATACATCCTTGGATGACATCCGGAAACTGAACCGCCACAACCAGCGCCAGCCCGGACAGCAAGGTCTGATGATGGAGATGCTCTGGACCGATCCCCAGACGGAGCCTGGTCGCGGACCGAGCAAGCGAGGTGTTGGTCTCCAGTTTGGTCCGGATGTTACCAAGAGATTTTGTGAGAAGAACGGACTGGAAGCCATCATTCGTTCTCATGAAGTCCGTATGGAGGGTTACGAAGTCGAGCATGATGGACGGTGTATCACCGTCTTCTCTGCTCCCAAGTACTGCGACACCACGGAGAACAAGGGAGCCTTCATCAACGTTGGCCCAGAGCTTAAGCTGGACTTCCAAGTTTTTGAAGCTGTGCCTCACCCTGATATCAAGCCTATGGTAAGATTTAACCCCCCCGCCTTTCCTTTTTTTTTTTTTTTTTTTTTTTTTTTTTTTTTTTTTTTTTTTTTTTTTTTTTTTTTAAGTCTACTCGTTACTTTGTTCTTCTTTAAGCATTGCAGAAGACTGACGTGTTTCCTTCTAGGCTTATGCACAAAATTCGATCATGTCCATGATGTGAGATGACTTACCTCTGCATGGGACGGCGTTTATGGGTGGATAGAGAAGCGTGGTCTTCTCGACCGGTCATAGAGGTTCGATTCTGGAATGAGCGTTGGGGCTCTTTGGTTATACCTGCAGACTGAAATAACGACAGATGTCTCTCAGATACCAAATACTGTTTCTATTGAATGATGATTTGAACTTCTTGCATAGCGGAACGATGATTTGTGAACGAATATATATGTGCAGGTATGAGGACGTTGGCTTGGGCAGTAAGATGGTTTGGCGTTTCTTCCATCTCCATTGATATGAATGTGGTGGCTACTAGTTGGCGACTTTGATTGCATTATCCAATGGCATAGACTAGTATAAGGGCTTCTCGTCGGAGTTGTTGTTTTTCGGAATTGCATTATCCGACCGCTTTGCTGGTAGACCCCGCGATTGGCTTTATCCGTTATTCATTTGCTTCCCCGCCTTGTTTCTGTCCCTCTCTGCTCAATCTCACGTTTTCTCTCCCCTCATCATCTTATTGAACAGAACAGTGTGATAGCACAGTTCAACAGTGAGGATAAGATGGAGTTCGATCCCAAGACCCGTATGTGTCTTCATTGCCAGAAAATACGACAACTCAACCACCAAAACTAACCCCACCTCTCTGCCGGTCTTGGTTAACAGCGCAATACCTTACTTCCGACAAATCTAGCTTCGCCTTGACCTCCGCTCATGAACGCTGGCCCGTAATTATCGTGAGTGGTTTGGAACACTCAGGCTTTGGTTTACCTGATTCCTGCTAATCATCTGTGTCACTATAGACGAGCGCTATTGATGACCTCCACCGCACTGTTGGTGATGTAACGGACGAGGAGAAGCGCAAGGAGGGAAAGGGTATCATCGAGAAACTTGCTGCACTCAAATATGAATTGCAACATAACAGACAATTGACGTGAGTGATTTTCGCCGCTAACTTTACGCCGGTTATGTCGAGGAAGTCGCTAACTTTTACGCGCCCGCATAAGTCCCCTCCCCGACGACGGCCAGCCGGGTATCGAAGAATATAACAAGGAGTTGGAACAACGAGGAAACCCGAGATGGCATGATGTTGCATGGCTGTACTCTGAATGCTACCTCTGTGTGTTCAACGTGCTCGGAAAAATACAGATGGCGAATAGACGTGCTAACGGAGAACAGACAGGCGCATCAGTGCCTACTTCGCCTTGTCCACGCACTGGAAAGGATACGATGTATTTTCCCGCCAGAAGATGTCCACTTTCAAATCGTCCCGTCCGGCAGTTCTGGAACTAGCTGCGAGATACAAGGAAATCGCTCAAGAGGCGGAAAAGGGCCAGGCTGACGGAAAGACCCCGGAGCAGGTCGAACAAGCTGAGCGCATCCTGTTCTCCGAGATGTGTGAGATCTGTCTGTGGGGTAATGCCACCGATCTGTCCCTCTTGACCTCTCTTACCTACGAGGACATCCAGAAACTGCAGGGTTCGCAGGCGCGCAAAGCGGCAGAGAAGAACATCCTCGTCAACGATTTGGACGCCGCCTTTGAGGTGCTCAATAAGGCCCGCAAGGAAAAGAAGACCGCGGAACGTCGCGTAGATATTGTTCTCGATAACTCCGGTTTCGAACTGTTCGTCGACCTTATTCTTGCCGGATACCTTCTCTCTGCCGGCCTTGCTACGACAGTAGTACTGCACCCTAAGCTGATTCCCTGGTTTGTGTCGGATGTTACGCCCCCAGACTTCAGGGACCTTATCACCGCGCTCGCCGACCCGCAATCATTCTACACTGCCGCCGATGAGTCGGGCAAGGAACACTCCCCCCTCTCCGATAAGGAGCTGTCAGAGGTCAACTTCCTCTTCGAGCAATGGTCCGGGCTCCACGCCGATGGCAAGCTGGTCATTCGCCCACATGCCTTCTGGACCTCTCCGGGAGGCTACTGGCGCATGCCCAACACAGCAAAGGATCTCTTCGAAGACCTGCAACAGAGCGAGCTCGTCCTCTTCAAGGGTGACCTCAACTACCGCAAGCTAACCAGTGATGTAAGTGATCCCTCATTCTTCCCTGAACTCCCGCAAATATTAACATGTTGTTTCCCAGGCTACCTGGGACCCCACAACCCCCTTCACGACCGCTATCGGACCAATGGGCCCCAAGTCTGGTATCCGTGTTCTCGCCTTCCGGACTTGCAAAGCCGATGTCGTTGTCGGACTGCCAGCAGGCGAAGACGAAAAGCTCCGTCAGCTGCCTAATGGCGGGGGCTCCGAGGCCCGGAAATGGGCCTGGAGTGGAAAGTGGGCTGTTGTGTCCTTCTCTGACGGGAAGGCTTAAATTAATTACTTGTCTGTGATATGCAGAGACGGGGTTTAGATTCTCGAGGTACCGAATGTATAGATGGACCTATAGATACGAACAGAATATACAGATAGATGATGTCATCATTGGAATGAGATATCCAGTTAATATGCATTGATGGACTCTGCAATCGGGTAATTAGCGTACTTCAACAAGTCTTAGGACTCGTGGGTCAAGTTAAGTGAATGATAAGGACAAAGTAGAACAGAACAGG